AACTTTTTCATGTATACATGTGCATACATATATACTTCATGATATAAAATGAATAAAATATATAATACAAAATGAAGTATATAAAAGATATAAAATATAGGCCCTGACTTAATGAGTACCTATGTTAACTATTTGGTCATTATGGTCCTTTCTCTCTTTGATACAGGCAGTCTAATTTACATATGCAGTCTTTTTTAATCATGCAGTCTTTTTTCTTTAGTGCTACTGTTTTGAGATGTTCTTTTCACTCCTCTTTAATACTTTTGCACCCAGTACAATTTTACTTTCTTGACTTTTTAAAATCTATTTCTAGATTTATCAGAGACAGTTTTTTCTATTAGTGGTCTATGGTAAGAAAAGCAACTGCTTGCTCATTGCTACCATTTTCTTAGAAGATCTTTTGTTATTTTATTATTTTTTTTTATGTTCCATTGCAGAATAGTTTCAAATTTCTGTGATTAAAAAAAGCAAAGAATACTTGTAATATAAAAGAATCTTTGTTTAACTTGAGAATACATTGTTCTCATGTATCCAGTACAAGTCTCTGTGTTTTCCTTAGTTCAAAGGATTGATTTGAGTGGATATTTGGGTACAGAAAAGAGAAATTGCTATTCTGCCATATTTTGGGCTGAACTACTTTATAATATGGACTCACTGCTACCCACAAAACACATGAAAAATGCTAAATGAAATAGAACATTGGGGAACAAAATAGGTGCGTGGCTGAACTTCAGAGAAAACTTTCCACTTGCCAGGAATAAAAAGGAAATCAAAGTTAGAGGAGGAAGGAGCAGTAAATTATGAACAATTATGAGAGGATGGGGTGTTGGAAGAATGGAAGGCCCTCAGAACAGGAGGTTGGGGATGGGATTGGAATTAAGTTGACTATGGAATTAAGTCTCCTTAAAGTTGAGACCCAGATAGGGTTACCTCCTATGCAAAGGATCTAGAAAAATTCCCTGTATATGCCTATAAATATATTTTTTATTGATGTGTGTAGATAAAATGGAATGCAGTCTGAAAAAATTTTTAAAATATATTTTATTGATTTTTTACAGAGAGGAAGAGAGGGATAGAGAGAAACATCGATGAGAGAGAATTATCAATCAGCTGCCTCTTGCACACCTCCTACTGGGGATGTGCCTGCAACCAAGGTACATGTCCTTGACCAGAATCAAACCTGGGACCTTTCAGTCTGCAGGCTGACGCTCTGTCCACTGAACCAAACCGGTTTCGGTACAGTATGCAAATTTCTTGAAGGCTGTGAAGAGCTATTTAAAATTTTGTCTTAATTGGTATATAAATGAGAGAAAGGTCCATAAGGGCCAAGCAGTTAATATACATGAATAAAACTGTCCAGGTATAAGATATTGGGGATAAGGGGGTGAGGGAGCATCATGAATTGGATATCATGCATCATTGAAAGGAACTAGTGCTACTTTGTGACCATGTGGGAAGTAGACCCAATGTTTCCAAATTTCTACTTTAAAAGTAGCTTCTTAAAATTATTTCCTCCCCCCCCCCAAACAACTTAAAATTAGATAGATGACTTACTTCTTCCAGCTCCTGAATTTGCCATGCCTTCTCACCTCATAGCCTTAGTATAAAACAATTCTCCATACCTGGAAAGCTTGTTAATCCCTCCTTCCCTGGAACTCCTACTGTACTCATCCTTCACTTCTAAAATTTAGCTTTTCCTAGACCTCTGCCCCAATTATATAAGACAACTCAGGATGGCTGCTGGTACTTAGTATCTACTCAGCATAAACCAGTAGGGGATGCTTTACTTAATAACTGTATCCCTACTTTCTAGCACTTTACCTGACAAACTGGAAAATATACATATTTGTAAAATAATTATTACTACTACTTCCTCTTTGCTTTTTACTTAAAAAGCTAAGGCTTAAGTTTTTCATATAACATTTCTTGTTCTTTTCTCCTGGTTTCTCTACCTCTAATTTTCTCCTTTTGTATTTTTTCTTCCTCCAAGTCATCTATCTAATTTTAAGTTGTTCGGGGGGGGTAAAGGAAATAATTTTAATATTTCTACTTTTCCAGGTTGCTTTAGGAAAAAGCTTGTGTAGTTTTTATACTTCACCTGTGTTTTGGCCACTTTATAGACTAACTGTATAATAGATTCTTTATTTTTCATACTACCAAATGTTTACCAACTTCATAATCATTAGATTTCTGTGGCTTTTAAATTTTCTCATTTTGTATGTTTTATTATCAGCAAATGAGATTTCATAGTTTTAAATATTAATGACAAAAGCTTGTGGTATTGGAATTTTTTTGTTTTATTGGCATTTTTATTTTGAATTGATTTTCAATTTCAGAATAGTACCAAGAATTTTTAAAATTTAATCTCTAATGTCAAAAGTATTAAAGATGTCTCATTTTTTATTCCATTGACCTCCTCCATGTCAGACCTTCTCCACAATATTGTCTATGTTCATGAGTTATGTGTTTATGCATAAAAGTTCTTTGTAAGAATGTTTTTTATATACCTTTTGCACAGGTTCACTAATTTTTAACTTTTTGCTGCATTTTCCTATTATTCTTCCCCCCCTCTCTACACACACACACACACACCCCTATATATTTATATTAGTATAAATCTGTTTATGAAAGAGGGATATAAACATTCTTATTCATAATTTGCTTATATTAAAGAAAAAAGGGGGAAATAACGTTTTAAAAATAATTACTAAATGGGGAGAGAGGGCCTAGTATAGGGGAGATGGGATGGAAGCTGGGCTTTGACTATAACTTTTGCATCTCTCAGGTTCAATCCAAGTAAATAATAAAGTAAAATTAAAATGAAATGCATAAAAAGCAAATGACCCTAATTAAATCAAGTGGTCTTACAGAATTAGATTTTTTCAGTTGACTTTATGACAATAATATGATTATGGGAGGGAATTTTCCTAAAGAACAAAAAGAATTGTAAAGAAATCTTGTTCTTAACCCTACTAAGAATAACTAAACAAAGTAAATAAATACTTTATACTTCTAATATCTAAGATAAAGACATTCTAATAATAAACCTATGCCACTAGAGTAGCCTAGATTCAGGCTCTTTACTTTTATCTCTAGCCATAACCATGTCTTCCCTACGTAATAACAAGTAATGTTGACTCCTTACTCATTTTGAAGGGCTATCAAGGTATGACTAAGAATATGGGCCCATGATGGGCCCCTCACCCCCAGATTAAATAATTTGTTTACTTTCCAAGTATTTGAGTAGCCACCTGTAAAAGGTACTGTGGTAGGTACTCTGGAAAAAATAAATAATATCCTCAAGAAGCTTATAAATAATTAAAGTGATATCCCTTTTGCCTATTTATTCTTTCCTAAAGAATTAGTTCAGCTGTGCTTTCTAAATGTTCTGATATTACTGTACCAAACTTGGTTGTATCATCAATGCTCCCTTTATACTTGGATTCATTATCTTAAATATAGCACATAATGGTATTTATTGACTGACATGACCATCTCTCCATACCAGGCTTGAAGTTCTCTAAAGGACTGTCTCATCTCCATCTTTCCAGTGCCTAACATGGTAGTTCTTGGTTAAGTTTATTGAATATGTAGATGTATTTTACCTCTCAGGTCCAGTAGAATAAAATTGTATGTTAGGAAAAATATCTTCTCTAATGTTCTTGCTGAAACTTCTTCTCTCAAGGGACTCAAGTAAAATAGGGATTTTTATTTTGTTTAATAAATCTTTATTATTGAAAATATTACATATGCTCCTCCTCCCCCTTTTTTAAGCGATAGTTTTGTTTTGAATAATTACAAGGCAGTGTGCTGTTCTTGGACCTCAGAACCATGTGATCAGAGAATAGAAATTGTCACAAAAATGATTTCCATTGAAAAAAATCTTTATATATTTGCATTTTAAACATTTTAATTTATATCTCACGTTTGAAGTAGAAAATATTCTTGCAAACTTTTATGTCACTGTTTCCATGTAGAAACTATTAACTCCTTGTCCTTGGAAAGGAGAATTACTTTTAGGAAGTAATTACTTTTAATATTGAAATCTATTTTCATAGAGTAATACTTCCATCTGGTGGTTTTTCTGAAAATTACAACAGAAGACTTGAAGCATGAGTTTTTCTATATAGAAAAGATATACATTACCTATTGTTGCTTATAAAGCCAGATGAAATTACATCAAAGGCTGTCTGTGTATCAAAAATTTTATTCTGTAATTTTCAACAATTCAAATGTGAATGCCACATGAACAAATGGCCTTAGGGATAATTATAATTTATATAATCAATTGTTTAATTCAGATCATATCTAGGCTTCCCTGAACTGAAAATTAGTAATGGGGAAATTGATGGTTTATTAATAAACTATTAATTGCTTTCACATTTGTGTGTATAGAGGTTAAGGAAAAATTGTGGGAATTTGCTGTTATTTTAGGTTATTACTGTGGAATCATGACAGAGTCGATTTTCTCAGAGAAACAATTAGTGATTTTATTTTTTAGTACCATGTATTTTATATTAGCCTAATTATAATATATCACATTTTCCTAAAATGATAAAATAGATTTAAACTTGAAAGCAAGTAGAAACTACAAATAAATTTCCACCTGTTGCCATGAGAATTTTCAACATATTTTTTTAACCTTTTCATCACAATTCCTACTTTATATTTACTACAGCCAAATAGCCTCTTCAGGATATTGTGTTTAAACTTTCCAAGTTTGTAGCCCAGGATTCTGAACATGGTAGAATATGTCCATTACGTTGGAGGAAGATTGTGATCTGATTACTTACGTTTTGGCCCAAATTGTACATAATTTATTAACCATGTCAGTTATTACTATAAATTAATTTTATTTCCTTTTTCTATTTGTTTGGCCATAGAAAGTTTGATATATGAACTAAACAAGATTTAATGATTTGGGGCTTTCTGGTGACTTTTTAAGAAAGATTAAATTCCTAATGAATTTTGTTTGAAATCTGTTCATTTTCATATTGCAGCCAGTCGGATGATGATTCTGGGTCAGCTTCAGGCTCTGGATCTGGTTCCAGTTCTGGAAGCAGTAGTGATGGAAGCAGTAGCCAGTCAGGTAGCAGTGACTCTGACTCTGGATCTGAATCGGGCAGTCAGTCAGAATCTGAGTCAGACACTTCTGGAGAGAACAAAGTTCAAGCAAAACCACCAAAAGTTGATGGAGCTGAGGTAATAAATAAAGTATCCAATGAAGGAAGATTTATAACATTTTTTAAAAATGTGTTTATTAATTTTAGAGAGAGGAGAAGGAAGAAGGTTAGAGAAATAGAAATATCTGAGAGAGAAACATCGATTGGCTGCCTCCTGCATGCCTTCCTCCCCACTGGGGATTGAGCCATAAGTTGGGCATATACCCTGACTGGAAAACATGAGCAGACCAGGAATTGAACTGGGGACATCTTGCTTAATGGGTTGACACTCAACCACTAAGCCACTCTAGCGAGACAATTTATAGCATTCTTAATCTAGCTTTTATAAAGATTAATTTTAAACATTAAAATTTACTTTCAAGTGATTTTCAATTATGGTTAAATATCTGTGGAATATAGGCTTGGAAGAGAATCCATAACTATAAAATAGCAGATACAAAATAAATGCACCAAGCCTATTCTTATTCTTTGTGAGGCAGACATTGGGTTTCATAAATGTTTAGTATCTAACAGATAAAAATTAAAGACTTTGTGAGATCTTTTTGTTTTTTCTACAGTGACTGATCTCTACTTTTAAGATATTCATGGAAATTTTTTTTATTGCTAGCAGCAAGAGAACTCTGCTTTCTTGAAGATACCTGATAGAATAGACTAAGGGACATTCTGTTTATAAAAGTTACTACAAGACTTAATAAAACTTGTCTATACTTTATAATAGTATATATAGTATTTCTTAGAGATCCAATCCTAAGATGCTTAGACCAGAATATAGATAAACACATAGCTTTCTTCATGGAGAAAATATTATCAGGCGGGGGAAAAAAAGTTCTTAGAAATGTAGTTGATCTGCATTTTGACTTAAGCTCTTCATGTTCACTTCACACCAGTTAGAAAAAATAAGCAGCCATACTTTGAGTAACATTGGTGTCTCATATTGCTTGTTTCTGAAAGATAGCTTGTAACACCAAAGAACATTGTCTATTTATGAAACTTGCATAAATATTTATATGCAACAAAAGGTTAACATTTTATTTTTATTGGATTGCACTAATATATTACATGTGAATAAGGAAGGTAGTCTTTATTATTTGGAGGCAGTGAAAATGTTGGTACTGCTTTTCAGTAAAATAACTTCTTTTCAGTATTTTTCAAAACTTTATTTTTACTGGTTCATATTTCTTTTATAGTTTTGGAAATCCAGTCCTAGTATTCTGGCTGTTCAGAGATCCGCAATGCTCAAGAAGCAGCAGCAGCAGCAGCAGCAGCAACAGCAGCAGCAACAGGTTTCATCTAATAGTGAATCAGAAGAGGTGAGTTTTCATTATGAAAGCTAATATTTTATAAGTAGACATGATGCCTAATCTTTTAAGTAGGAAGGTAATTAAGAAATTATTAGAAATAGTGTTTTTAAAGGATAGAAGATCACTGCATTTAAATATGTGTATCAAGAGTCCTGAAATATAGAGATTTTAGAATCTGTACACCAGTAGCTTTCTGCCATCCTCCTGTACCTCTCTGCCCGCTGCTCCTCCCTCTTGAAACTCCCCTCTGCCCCGCCTCATAGCTTGCTGCCCTGCCCCCTCCTCTAGCTCTCCTCCATCTGCTTGGAGTTCACTGCCCTACCCTTCTGCAGATACGTGATCTGGTCATTAGGCCTCGTGGTGTAATGGATAATTAGCATATTCCTTTCTTATTATGTAGGATAGGATTGTACTTTAAAGTATTAATCCAAAACAAAAAATGTAAATTGGTGTGCATTTGTTCATCAAAGCAAAACAAGAAATAAACTAAATGTGAATACTAGGAAAATAGATATATGAATGAAGAAATAATATACTGTTTAAATCATATTTGTACAGAATATTAATAGAATTCTCAACATATTTTTAAAAGAATAGGCTGCAGCTGTAAACGTCGTAGTTCCTATGTACATGTGAGCCTAATAGGGGAGAAAAAGATTAAAATTTGACATAACAAAAATTAAGATTATTTTTTGAGGCCATAGTAGGCAATAATAATGGTCTCTAGAGTAGATATATTTTTTCAATTACAGTTGACATTAAATATTAAATTGTGTCAGGTGTACATCATAGTGGTTAGACATTTATATAGCTTATGAAGTTGTCCCCGTACCCCATAAATCTAATATCTACTGGCACCATATATAGTTATTACAGTATTATTGACTATATTCCCTGTGCTATAATTTATACTTCTGTAACTCTTATAACTGCCCATTTGTACTTCTTAATCCCTTCATCTTTTTCTTCTCAGCCCTCTAACCTTCCTCCCATGTGGCAACCATAAGTTTATTCTCAGTATCTATAACTTTGTTCCTGTTTTTATTCACTTATTTTTTTTTTAACTTCATATTTTAGTGGAATTATGTGGTATTTGTCTTCATGTGACTTATTTCACTTAGCATAATACCCTCTAGGAACATCCATATTGTTGCAAATGGTAAGATCACATTCTTTTTCATGTTTGAGTACTATTCCATTTTATATATGTACCACATCATTATCACAATTGTCTATTGATTGATACTTACCTTGGGTATTTTATATGCTGTTCCTTTTTTGTTTTTATTGATTTTAGAGAGGAAGGGAGAGGGAGAGAGAGACAGAAACATCAATGGTAATGTTTGATTTACTGTCTCCTGCACACCCCCTACTGGGGATCAAGCCTGCAACCAGGACATGTACCTTGACCAGGAATCGAACCTGTACCTCCTGGTTCATGAATCAATGATCAACCGCACCGGCAGGGCATTATAGCCTTTATTATTTTAAATAAGTCTTTATTGTTCAGATTATTATAGATGTTCCTCTTTTTTCCCCCCATAGCTCCCCTCCACTTGGTCCTCCCTCCCCATCCCATGCTCTTCCTCTGTCCTCATCCATAGGTGTAAGATTTTTATCCAATCTCTCCCCCCACCCCTCATTACCCCCCTTCCCCTGAAGAATGGTCAGTTCACTCCCTTTCTATGCCCCATATTCTATTATATTCATTAGTTTATTTTGTTCATCAGATTTTTTACTGACTTGATTTTTAGATTCACTTTTTGATAAATAGGTATTTGTTGTCACTTTGTTGTTTCATAATTTTAGTCTTTACCTTTTTCTTCTTCCTCCTCCTTTTAAAGAATACCCTTCAGCATTTCATATAATCCAGGTTTGGTGGTGCTTAACTCCTTTAGCTTTTTCTTGTCTGTGAAGCTCTTTATCTGACCTTCGATTCTAAATGACTTTGTTAGGTAGAGCAATATTGATTGTAGGTTCTTGCTATTTATCACTTTGAATATTTCTTGCCATTCCCATCTGGCCTGCATAGTTTTTGTTGAGAAATCAATTGACAGTTGTATGGGTATTCTCTTGTAGGTAATTAACTGTTTTCTCTTGGTGCTTTTAAGATTCTCTCTCTGTCTTTTGCCCTTGGCATTTTAATTATGATGTGTCTTGGTATGGCCCTCTTTGGATTCCTTTTGTTTGGGGTTTTCTGCGCTTCTTGGACTTGTAAGTCTATTTCTTTCCTCAGGTAGGGGAAGTTTTCTGTCATTATGTTTTCTAATAGATTTTCAATATCTTGCTCTCTCTCTTCTTCTGGTACCCCCATAATTCGAATGTTGGTATGTTCGAAATTGTTTGAGAGGTTTCTTACACTATCTTCATACTTTTGGATTCTTTTTGCTTTCTGGAGGAGTGTTTTTTGCTTCTTGGTATTCCAAATCTTTGACTTGATTCTCTGTTCTACTGTTGAATTTCTGTATTTTATTCTTTACTTCAGACAGTGTATGGTTAATTTCTGACTGGTCCTTTTCCATTTTTTTTTGGCATTCTCATTAAGATCCTTGAAGGTCTCACTAAGTTCCTCAGAGGTTTCTAGAAGATCCTTGAGTAACCTTAGAACTGTGGTTTTGAACTTTATATCCAGTAGTTTGCTTTTCTCTATTTCATTCATTTGTGACATTTGTCTTTGTCTCCACATTTTGGCTGCTTCCCTGTGTTGATAGTGTCCTTGTTGGTAGGTATTCTATAGGGCTCAGTGGCTCAGCATCCCTAATCACCTGAGGTGGACATTCTTGGTGCACCCCTTTGTGGGCTGTGCACATAGTTTTGTTGTAGTTAAGCCTTGGTTTGTACCACTGGGAGGAATTAACCTCCAGGCCAGTTGGCTGTAAGAACCTGCTGTGTCTATAATGGAAGAACTGCTGTGCTGGAGATACCATATTGGGCAGTACTTTCTTCAGTTGGGCTTTGGTGCTCACTGAGTCTGCCTCTTGAGTGTGTCACTTATGGATGTGAGGAGTTGCAATCTGGTATTGTCTCATACTGACCACTAGGTACACTGGTTCCTGGATCTCCAAGGAAGTGCAAAGTCAACCACTTCCTGAGGCCATCCATCAGGAGCTACAGTGAAATCTGCAGATTTTCCCTCTTTGGGGTTTGGAAATTTTGGAGCTCTCTGACCTAGCTGCAGTTGTTAGGTTAGGCCATTCATATGCAAAAGCCACTGTGCACAGCTTGGGTTGGGTTGTAAGCTGGGTGGGGCTGGGTCTCAGGGAGTCATCAGAGCAGAGCAAACAGAAATGGCTGCCAGTCAGCCATCTCCACATCTCAAGTCTCTGGATCCCCCTGTCCCGCACCCCAACACAGTAACAGTGATGACTGATAGCACGTCTGCTCCCAGAAAGCCACCCTTGTTTTCCGACCGGATGCCCGACAGTCCAGTTTCTCCCCATAGCAGTCTGGATTTCCAGAGTCTTGCTGGAAATTGGAGTTCAGAGCATTCAGGAGCTTCCATCTCCCTTCTGATTGAGAAAGACTGCGTACCCAGTTCCCAGCCCTTTTCATGCACTTCTTTACCTCTACTATTCTGCACTTCCTACCCAGTCTCAGTGTGCTTTTTTCTTTCCTTCTAGTTGTAAAGCTCAGCCAGCTTTTCCATGGTCTGGATTAGTGCTGTTTATAGTCTTTTAGTTATAGTTTTCATGTGGTTGTGAGAGGCAGCACATACAAGTGTATACCCTATGCCGCCATCTTGGTTTCTCCTAGCCTTTATTTTTAAAATCTTATTTTATCTTATACAAATATAGATGCTCCAGCTTCTTTTCATTTTCTTTTGCATAAAATAGCTTTTTCCATTGCTTTACATTTCAGTTTGTGTGTGTGTCTTTCGATCTGAATTGGTTCTCTTGTGCATGTTGCCAAATTGTTGTCTTATTTTCTTCTCCACTCAGCTGACCTGTCTTTTGATTGGAGCATTTAATTCATTCCATTTAAAGAAATTATTTATAGGTATGTGGTGACTAACATTTTATTTGTAGTTTTTACCCCTTTTTCCCTCTCCTTCTTAAAGAAGTCCCATTAACATTTTTTACAGTGCTGGTTTGGTGGTGATAAACTCCTTCAACTTCCTCTCTCCTTTCATCTTAAATAATAGCTTTGTCTAGTTGAGTAATTTTGATTGTAGGTTCTTGCTTTTTATCATTTTGAATATTTTATGTCTGCAAAGTTTCTGTTGAGGGAGCTCCCTTTTATGTAATAGATGACAGACTTTAAAGTTTTGTACAAAATGCTGACATTGTAATGTTTCCCTAATTTCACTGGCTATATTATAAATTTGAATAGAAACATTATTGATCACTTTATGTGCTAATGGTATAAACATAACAACAGGGGGAAAGAGGTTTTATATTTACTTTTATTAGCAGAGTGAACTTTAAATGCTATGACACGTAAAAATTTGATATGATGGTTAAATTGCAATCATTAATAATATTAACTTTGATTATTTTTTTTCCTACAGGGTTCCTCTAGCAGTGAAGATTCTGATGATACATCAAGTGAAATCAAAAGGAAAAAGCATAAAGAGTATGTCATTTTGTTCACTTGACTACTTACTCTCATATCAAGAAAATCCTAATGATTTCGTATTTCTTCCTTTATTAGAAATTGTTGGCAAAAAAAATGGACTTTTGTAAACTCTTGGTTCATGACATTTGATTAGGTTAATTTAAACCATTAATTATTTTTTAAATATATTTTTATTGATTTAATAAAGGAATGGAGAGAGAGAGATAGAAACATCAGTGATATGAGTCATTGATCAGCTGCTTCCTGCACACCCCCCACTAGGGATTGAGACTCCAACCTAGGCATGTGCCCTGACTGGGAAGCAAACCATGACCTGGTTCATTGGTGAACGCTCAACTGCTTAGGCATGCCGGCTGGGCTAAACCATTAATTCTTAACATTTGTCTTTCTGTGATGACTTAAGGTTTTTATGCCACTTGTTTATCTCCTATAACTTCTCTCCCTTATATCTGCTTATTAATAATGTCAGAGAATCTTAACTTCGGTATAAGAGTGTAAGGGATCAACTGATTATGGATTTGGGATGATTCTGTTAATTTATGTTAACAGTTATCCTTACTATTCTTCACATGAAATTTACTTGATAAAACTCATTTAGGAACTCACTATAATGTCTTCAAGTATTAGAAGTACTTCAGATTCTCAATTCAGTTATTTAGATGGTCTGAGTTTTTTTCCTCTCATTTTTTTAAAAGCATTTTTCTATGATCTCTTTTTCAATTTTGTTTGATATTTTGCATTTTCACTTTGGTATGTCTAGCTTTTAATCTGTTACTCTGTTTTTGCATCTAATCTTATGCATCCTTAATGTGAAGATGCATATCTTTTATTATTAGTTTATGAAAATTCAGTCATTGTATCTGGATATTTTCTCTTTCTAGTACTACTATTAATAGATGTAAATTTGTCTTGGATCATACCCGTTGTATATATTTATTGGATCATCTATTCTATCTTCCATGAATCTTACTATATCATGTTTTATATCATTTTATTTCTGTGCTACTAATTTTCACAAATCTGTCTTCTACTTTACTAAGTTCATTTTCAACTACTGTATCTCATCAGATGTGTAACTCTTCTCCAGAGTTAGTAATTTCTAAACTCAGCATAGGTGCAAGCAAAGAATAAGAGTAATGTTGGGCCCTAACTGGTTTGGTTCAGTGGATAGAGCATCAGCCTGTGGATTGAAGGGTCCCAGGTTCTATTCTGGTCAAGAGCATGTACCTTGCTTGAAGGCTCGATCCCCAGTAGATGGCATGCAGAAGGCAGCTGATCAATGTTTTTCTCTCATCAGTATTTCTAACTCTTATCTCCCTGCCTCTTTGTAAAAATCAATTTATATATATATATATATATATATATATATATATATATGGTAATGTTGGTTGATTAATAGATTTGCTTGGATATAAAAATCATAATTTATATTATAAAAATATAAAATGAAGACTTTTCATATATTCTGCCACTTGTTACTGCTAATATATAAACTGAAAAGATTTCAAGATAAAAAAAATCTGTTTCTCTATTATGTTTTTATTATAAACCACATCTTATCATATATACTTGCTTGTGTAACCATTAACATAGTCATTAGTACAAGAGATTCAGAGCAACTGAGTAAAAGCAGTGACTGTGAGACAGTTCTTATATAGAACTCAGTGAAAGCATTTGGAATTTATATTATGGCAGAATGTTAAAATGTGCATCCATTACTTTTTCTGTTCATGTTGATTGGAATTAGACTAAAAAATAGTGATAAAGGTAATAATTGAAGGTTAAGATGGGCTGATTTTTCAAAAATATATTTTTCTATACTCTTTCAAGTTTTTTAATGAACATATATTATCTTTAAAAATCAGTTTTGAAGGGTATATTTTTAAATTCACTATCTCCAGATAATTGTAAGAGATTTGAATTTTTATTTTTGAGCAGTAATCAGTATTTTAAAAGTTGAACCCTGTGTTTCTTAAAATTAGCATGCTATTTTCATCCATAGTGATAATCAAAGTAACATTTATATACCACCTTTCATTGAGGTATAAAGTAAATGATTAACAAAACTTTGGAGTTATGGGAGAAATCTATGACAAATATTTTCTAGAATGTTGTTCTTTTTCTGCAGACATTTAAGTGTTTTTAGTATACATGAAAGCAACAGTATTTTTAATATTTACTATAATACAATTATTTTATTTTCACACTTTATCAAAGAAAGAATTTGCAATAGGATGTAAATATAAATAAATGTATTTTATATATTTTATGTACAGTGAAGATTGGCAGATGTCTGCATCAGGATCTCCATCTCAATCTGGTTCAGATTCAGAATCTGAAGAAGGAGATAAAAGCAGTTGTGATGAAACAGAATCTGATTATGAACCAAAAAACAAAGTTAAAAGTAGAAAACCTCAAAATCGGTAAGTATATTCGTGATTTGATGCTGAAAATTGTTGGTTATAGAAGGTGTTTATTCTTTTTGTATATTGTTTCTCAGTTTTGGTTTTATGACATTGATCCTGTAAAACAACTCTCTCCCCTTCGTTTTTCCTAGATCTAAGTCAAAAAATGGAAAGAAGATTCTTGGACAAAAAAAGAGACAAATTGATTCATCTGAGGAGGAGGAGGATGATGAAGATTATGATAATGATAAAAGAAGTTCTCGTCGACAAGCAACTGTCAATGTGAGTTATAAGGAAGATGAAGAAATGAAAACAGATTCTGATGACCTCCTTGAAGTCTGTGGAGAGGATGTTCCTCAACCCGAGGAAGAGGAATTTGAAACAATAGAACGATTTATGGATTGTCGGATTGGGAGAAAAGGAGGTATTTATTTATTTTTAAGAACACTTATTGTTTGGTGGTTTCAATAACATTACTACATTAAATAAAATATTTCTTGGAGATTTTTTTAATTTTGAAAGCCAAGATTGTAGATTTTCTTTGTTTTACTTATTTGCTGTAAAATATACTGGAATTTTGAACCTTTTTGCCACTTTCACCATATTCCACCTCTGGTAACTATAAATCTAATCTATTTTTCTCCTAATTTGTTTTTTTTAAATTTTTTTTTTTTAAAGCTTTCTTATATGAGAGCATACAGTATTTGCCTTTCTCCATCTGACCTATTTTACTCAGCATGATGCCCTCAAAGTCCATATCACAATGGCCGATTTACTTCCTTTGTAATGGATGATAATATTCATAAGTGTGTGTGTGTGTGTGTGTGTGTGTGTGTGTGTGTGTGAAACTTATTTACCCATTCTTCTGTTGATGGACCCTTAAATTGTTTCCTTGTCTTGGCTATTATAAATGATGCTGCAGTGAACATGGGGTGCAGATATTTCTTTGACATAGTTATTTCAGGCATGAAGTTTTTAAAATGATTTTAAGTTATTTTAGTTTCTAATTATCAGTCTCCCAATCAACAGTTATTTTATATTGCTGTATATTTTTAGGTTTGCCACTACCGTTTGGCCTTGTTTTTTCTAATTTTAATGCAGAGGTGATTAAATTAGATGATTTTTCTGTTCTAAAATTCTGAGTTTTTATTACATACGTATAATATAACTTCACATAAGTTCTTGTGCCCTGATATTTGACTTATTTAAGAGCATATATTTTCTATTCATATTCTTTAATTTTTGAGTTCAATTGAAACATTCCTATAACAGAATTACAGGGAATGTTTTGTGCTTTGTTTTTTTTCAGCTACTGGTGCTACAACAACCATCTATGCAGTTGAAGCAGATGGTGACCCAAATGCAGGATTTGAAAAAAACAAGGAATCAGGAGAAATCCAATATTTAATTAAATGGAAAGGATGGTCCCATATTCATAATACTTGGGAGACAGAAGAAACCCTTAAACAGCAGAATGTTAGAGGAATGAAAAAATTGGATAATTATAAGAAAAAAGATCAGGAAACAAAAAGATGGTAAATATGATATGTATTCTTAATATTTTTATAAATCTAAGATTATTACTCAGATTTTTATTAGCAAGAGTACATTGTGAAGAATCAAAGGATAACATAAAATAACTTATTTATGGAGAAATTTGTATTGGGTCTTCTAAAAGTTCTTAGGAATAACCTAAATTTTTGACAATAGTCATTAGTATGTCTCATATACTATAAATTTTTTAAATTAAAAATTAATTATGCTTTACTTTATTTCTGTTTTAATTTTTTTATTAAACTGGTTCAAAAGGTAAGTGGCAAAATGGTAGATTTTGTGTTACTGATAGTTTTTTGGGTGATAGGTTATTTAGGCAAGATTTTGAAGCCTGTTCCTTGCTTTAATCTTTCAGGTTGAAAAATGCTTCTCCAGAAGATGTGGAATATTATAATTGCCAGCAAGAACTTACAGATGATCTGCATAAACAGTATCAAATAGTGGAGCGAATAATTGGTTAGTAATAAATGATTCTAATTAAACATTTGAAAAAAATCTTAAATTTACTGCTTATACATTAAACATAGTAGCTTGCTTTTACAAAATAATAGTGTTGTAAAACATTAATTTTTGCTTTTGTAGTTTTTAATAAGAATTATTCATTGAATAAGATTTAATGTAAAAAATATCTGATTTATCTCACAGCTCATTCCAATCAAAAGTCAGCAGCTGGTTATCCTGATTATTATTGCAAATGGCAGGGCCTTCCATACTCAGAGTGCAGCTGGGAGGATGGTGCTCTCATTTCCAAAAAGTTTCAAGCATGTATAGATGAATATTTTAGCAGAAATCAGTCAAAAACCACTCCTTTTAAAGATTGCAAAGTGAGTATTTTTTGACTTTTAATTATTGAAAATATATTTGTGCATCATAAGTATTACAAGTCCAGATTAGTGTGTTGGATACTGATTTTGGATAAATTAAGAATGAGAACTACTTGGTTGGTAGATCTTATAGGAAATGATATTCCTCTTGATTACTGTGTGATCTTAGATGTTGCACTGTCTTTTAGCTTTGATGAGTAAACTGTGTCAGAAAGATGATAAATTGTGGTAGTTGCGGTGAATAAGTTTGGGAGAAAGAATAGAGAACATCCCTTGGAAACTCAGTGTATATGATTTGTTTAAAAGGTAGCGAATATTTTCTTTGAAGGTAGGAAAGGAAAAGAGTCATGTACCTATAAGAGGGTATCAAGGCCTACCATGCCTAATATAAGATCTGTGTACTTTAAGTTATTATTAGTGATAGTTTTGGAGTCTTTAAGTACCACTGGAATTTCTTTTTATAAGACTGAATTAAATTCATAATGGTAACTTACAAATCAGAAATCAAATAGGAGGGTAAGCCAGTTTTAGGGTTTTTTTTTAGGTCAGGGCTTATGAATGTTTAAAGTAAACGGATAGTATAGCTTGAAATATACAAAACCCAAATATTTCATTAGGAACTTCATTAATTATCTCTTTAATTTTTCATTCAAAAGGAGGGCAAAATGTTTCACTGCATATTCTTGTTATAGTAATAGAACATAGTCTCCTTTAATAGAATCAGGTATATTTTGAATCATGGAATTTCTGAATTTGATTTGAGATATCTCAAAATTTATTGGAAAAGCTGAGACTTTTCATCCTTTAATATAATTTTTTACATGTAATAATTTTTCATATTAACATTTATTTCTACTAAAGGTATTAAAACAAAGGCCAAGATTTGTAGCCCTAAAGAAGCAGCCATCCTATATTGGGGGACATGAAGGTTTAGAATTAAGAGATTATCAACTGAATGGTTTAAACTGGCTTGCTCACTCTTGGTGCAAGTAAGTGTATTTTGAATCATCTATTTAATTTGTGAGGGTAAGAGTTTTATAATTACAGGATTTGAAAAAGATTCCCCAATATAAAGGATGAGACCATTTAGTATTTATATGCAGGTCTTAGAATTTCTTGTACATAAACAATACTTATTACATACTAAGAAGAAAAACAATGCTGTTTTTAGTTTAACCTGTCTCAGTACTTAAATAAGTTTTTATTCATCTTACTAAACTCAGAATATATATATTCCTATCCCACACTAGTCCTGGACTATTTCTTTTCTTTCCAGTTATTATTTTTTTTAATATATTTTATTGATTTTTTTACAGAGAGGAAGAGAGAGGGATAGAGAGTTAGAAATATTGATGAGAGCGAATCACCGATCAGCTGCCTCTTGCACACCCCCCACTGGGGATGTGCCCGCAACCAAGGTACATGCCCTTGACCGGAATCGAACCTGAGACCCTTCAGTCCGCAGGCCGACACTATCCACTGAGCCAAACCAATTGGTTTTGGCTTCCCAATTATTTCTGATATCCAGTTAGCCCTTAAACACACACACACACACACACACACACACACACACACACACCTGGTCCCATGTCCACTGTTTCATTATTAGCAATATAAGGTGGCTCTAGGGTGCCTTCCCCCCCCCCCCCCAACTTTACCATAGCTATAGTTTTTTTTTCTGCTATATGTTCTTCTTACTTTTTACTTAATTTATTCAAACTTTACCACTGGAAGATGGATTGAGTTCTTAGCTACATACTGGCAGTTGATTAATTGGAAAATATTTGCAATTTCTTTCTTTTTTTTTTTTTTTTAATAAGTTTTTATTGTTCATATTATTACAAACGTTCCTCCCCACCCCCATTGCTCTCCTCCACCAGGTTCCCACCCCACCCTCTGCCCTTTCCCCACTCCCCATTGTCCTCATCCATAGGTGCACAGTTTATGTTCAGTCTCTTCCCATATCCCCCTCTCCCCTTTTCCCCAAGAATCATCAGTTCACTCCCCTTCCATACCTCTGATTCTATTATATTCAACAGTTAATATTGTTCATCAGATTTTTTTTTAATTTCCTTGGTTTTTAGATTCACTTGTTGATAGTTACGTATTTGTTGTTCATAATTTTTATCTTTATTTACTTTCCCTTCTGAAAGAACCCCCTTCAGCAATTCATATAATTCTGGTTTGGTATTGATGAACTCCTTTAGCTTTTTTTTTATTAGTGAAGCTCTTTATCTGACCTTCGATTCTGAGTGATAGCTTTGCTGGATAGATTATCTTTGGCTGTAGGTTCTTACTATTCATCACCTTGAATATTTCTTGCCATTCCTGTCTGGCCTGCATGGTTTCTGTTGAGAAGTCAGCTGACAATCGTATAGGTGCGCCTTTATAGGTAACTACCTTCTTTGCTCTTGCTACTTTTAATATTCTCTCTTTGTCTTTTGCTCCTGGAATTTTAATTATGATGTGTCTTGGTGTGGTCCTCTTTGGATTCCTTTTGTTTGGAGTTCTGTGTGCTTCCTGGACTTGTAAGTCTAATTCTTTCACCAGGTGAGGGAAGTTTTCTGTCACTATTTCTTTCAGTATGTTTTCGGTATCTTGCTCTCTCTCATCTTCTGGGACCCCCATAATTCTGATGTTGGTTCGCTTGAAGTTGTCCCAAAGGTTTCTTACATTATCTTCAATTTTCTGGATTCTCTTGCCTTCTAGCTTATGTGGAGGAGTGTCTTCTGGCTCTTTATGTTCCAAATCTTTGACTTGATTCTTGCGATCTTCCATTCTGTTTTTAGGACTCTGTATAATATTTTTTATTTCAGACAATGTATTCTTTATTTCTTGTTGATCCCTTATCATTTCTTGTTGACTCCTTATTAATTTTAGTTGATCTCTTTTCATATCCTCATAGGTCTTATCGATCTTTTCTAGGAAATTCTTGAAAAACCTTATAAGCGTAGATTTGAACTCTATATCCAGCCGCTTTTTGTCCTCCATTTCTTTCGTTTGTGGTCTATTTCGTTGTCGCATTTCGCAGTTACAGATGGGACGGGATTTCAGGGTGGAGCCTACAGCCTTGGCTTCCGTCAGCCCCGCCCTATGCGGGTTCTTCAGTGCTCGCTGCAAAGCGCCTCTGAGAGAAAGGTGCCCTCGATTTTTGCCTGCTGCCAAACAGTCTATGCTCTCCCCCAATGAGCCCAGTATTGGGGTTCAGTTCAGTTGAAAGTGGAGTTGGAGGTGGCGTTCAGAGCAGTCTGGAGCTCCTGTCTCCTTCCCGCCAGGCAATCCCGCGGCACAGCCGACCTTCCCTTCTCTACGTGCAATGTGCGCGCTGCCAGGACCTCCTTTCACCGCTTCCCCGGGTTTCGCCTTACAGCCCAGCTCCCTATGGATGAGCCTGGGTCCCCGGGGTCTGGCCTAGGACTGGGGTTCAAAGCATTCAGAACTGGGGCCCAACACAGTCGGAGTTTTTATCTCCTTCCCGCTAGGGAACGCCAGCCAGGCACTCGGCCTCCCTCCTCTCCGGTTCCGTCCTCTCCGCGCGCCACGTGTCTCCGTACCTCAGGCTTTTACAGCTCCTCCGCTCTTCCTTCTGGTTTTCTCCTTGCTTCTCGTTGTATAATTTCCAGTCAGTTGACTTTCCTGTAGTTCTGGGTAATGTCCATTTTATATTTTAGTTGTATTTTATTGAAATTGTTGTGTGCGGCTGTGGCTAGGTGTTTACCTGGGCGCAGCCATCTTGGATCCCCCAATATTGCAATTTCTAAGATTCTTCTGCCCTAAAATGATAAACTCCCTCTGCTTCTTTTACACCTTTACATTTGTTATTTATAGCTAATAAAAGTGGTATATTGTATATAATACTGTTAGATTAATTTTATTTAACTGGTCATATAAACTTATACATGGCTTATGTAAAAAGTTTCTTTGTAAATTTGAATCTTTATTGCATACATGATTTTTGTTTTTATTTTTGTAGAGGAAATAGTTGCATACTTGCTGATGAAATGGGCCTTGGAAAAACAATACAGACGATCTCATTTCTGAATTATTTGTTTCATGAACATCAATTATATGGACCTTTTCTGTTAGTAGTACCACTCTCCACTCTCACTTCCTGGCAAAGGGAAATTCAGACATGGGCTTCTCAAATGAATGCTGTGGTTTATTTAGGTGATATTAACAGTAGAAACATGGTAAGTGGTGTCTTCACAAATTTATGAAATATAGGCATACTTTTCTTTGAAGATAAATATTTTATTTGTTTTTAGTTTCTAGCATAGAACTTGCCAAAAAGTAAGTGCTCAGTACATTCTTAATTGGCTGTATTAAAAACCAAATTTTGGTTTAGTGTTACTTTATAGATTAATTTTTTCTTTTTAATGGAAAATTTCAAATATACATAAAATCCAACAGAAGAGTATAATAAACCTTCATATGCCTATCTTCAGCTTTAAAGTTTTAACTCATTGCCAGTTTTGTTTCATCTGTATCTCTACCTGGTATTTTCCTCCCAATTATTGTGAAGCAAACCGCAGACATCATATTTCATCCATAAATGTTATTAAATGAGTTAATTATTAGTGTTATGTTAACTTTCTTCTGTGGAAAGTATACAGTATTACAAGATGTGTCTGCTTTATTTTATAGAAGATTTTGATACATTTTACTTATATAGTTAACATAGCTGGTTAAACTATTTTATTTTATAACAAACTATTTTATTTTATAAACATGTACATAATTTTTGTGTGTTTTGAATGGATTTTATTTTAGGAATTCAAGTAAAGTTATACTTTTTAAAATTTGTATCTTAAAATTACCTTTGAAATTTTTTGATAGATAAGAACTCATGAATGGATGCATCCCCAGACCAAACGGTTAAAATTTAATATACTGTTAACAACTTATGAAATTTTATTGAAGGATAAGGTGTGTATTCCTGTTTGTTTGATCGATATCAATTTTTTCTTTATAATATGTTGTGGATAGAATGAGATAGTAAATTAAGGTTCAACACACTTTAGCCTTTGAACTAAGAAGAAATGCTTACATTTTATAAGGTTGTAAAAACAAAACAATAGGCAAAAGATACTATACATTTGCCTGGGAAGCCTAAAATATTTCTCACCTGGCTCTTTAAACAACTTTGTCAATTCTTAACTTACATGAAAATAGTTTAGTGTCTGTTGATTTATAAGAGGAGGAAGGTAGGTAGCTATCAGGATTGAACTATCACTGCATGTAGCACTGTCCTAAATGCTTTATAGCTATTGTTTCTTTATGGTTAATATCTCAGTTCTCATTTACTTTACAAGATACTCCTGTCTCTATTTTATTGGAAAGAAAAATCAACTCTCAAAAGAATAATGATCTTACCTTAGGTCGTACAACTGCTAAATAATAGAATAAGGCCTGTCTCTGATTTAAGTCAGACACATGTTTATATGTGAGAAATGTATAGTTCTAGAAGGATATGATGAATTCTATAATTCGAGTAAGATACAGTTTCAAATTTGTATTATGTTTTCTCCAAGTTGACTAAAAGGCTTTTCCTGGACTTGAGTTAAAAATCTCTTGTAAAAATTTTCAATGATACAAGTGTTTTTCTTTGTGGTTTTTTTTCCCCAGTCTGTAAACTGATAAAAATGTTCACTTGATATACTCTGTATTCTAATGGCTAAATTGTTTGTAGAAGGAACTTTATTTTCAAGTTTAATTACTTAATTTGAGTGTTCCAGTTAATCTTAAAATGATAAAATTTTCATTTGAAATTTGAGTTAGGTTTGGTTTTAATTTGCCTCATTTTAATAATTTGAATTATGGTCAAATGAGAAGCATAAGTTTGAATTCAATTTTTCTCTAAAAATATTAACTATATTTTTCTGTTCATTTTAAGGCATTCCTTGGTGGTCTAAATTGGGCATTTATAGGTGTAGATGAAGCACATCGATTAAAGAATGATGATTCTCTTCTGTATAAAACTTTAATAGACTTCAAGTCCAATCACCGTCTCCTTATCACTGGAACTCCTCTACAAAACTCCCTCAAAGAGCTCTGGTCTTTGCTTCATTTCATTATGCCAGAAAAGTAAGATAAATTGGTATATACAATATTAATGTTTTTATGCTAAGTTTAGCAGGAAGTAATAGTGTAGTATTAAGGTCAGTAAGAGATTTTTGTTGCCCTGAAACATTGGCCCACAGATTATTAAGAAGAGAAAAAAAGGAAAATGGACTATTTTATATTTGTAAGTGCTATTTTAATTTTCTCATTTTGTAAATAAACTTGAGTACATCTATATTCCAAGTGACCTGAACAACCGGTTTCTATGATGCAGTTGATGGGTCAGCACCACCAACTGCCCTCGGCCGCCCCCCACCCCTGATCGTGCCCCCCTCATCCACCCATTGGGGGCACGGCTGGTTGCCCAACCTCCCGTGTACCTGTCTCTCCCTTCTCCACTGGCCTGCCCCCTTGTGCCCCCATTAGAGTGGGCCTGCTAGACTCCACCCATGCACAAATTCGTGCACTGGGCTTCTAGTTTATAATAAAAGTTGATTTTGCCCATGTTCAGAATATACCTTACTTAAAACACTCAAAACTGATTACCTTGCTAGTAATCCTATTTTTAAAAAAATATATTTTATTGATTCTTTACAGAGAGGAAAAGAGAGGGATAGAGAATTAGAAACATCAATGAGAGAGAATCATTGATCAGCTGCCTCTTGCACACTCCCTACTGGGGATGTGCCTGCCACCAAGGAATATGCCCTTGACCAGAATCAAACCCGGAACCTTTCAGTCTGCAGGCCAACGTTCTTATCCACTGAGCCAAATCGGTTTGGCTCATCCTATTTTTTAGATGAGGAAAATAGACCAAATGTGTATAATAACTTTCTCAGGATCACATACACACTCTACCTATAGTTTCAGAACTTTAAGATTATATCATTTGAGAAATATTTTAGTGATGGTTACTCCATATTTGAAAAAACTTCATCTTTATTTAACTCAAGAATTTTCATAGTTTTTATAAGACAACTCATTATATTTTATCTTTATGAATGAACTTGGGAAGGGTAGTTATTAAAACTAGAAAATTTTTTCCTTTAAAAAAGTTTATTTATTTTTTGTTTACATATGAATATCCTGAAAAAATCTCATCTGCAATATGACTCTTTTTTTTAGTGATTCTTCCATTTTCTTAACTTTGTAAGGTTTTCTTCCTGGGAAGATTTTGAAGAAGAGCATGGCAAAGGCAGAGAATATGGTTATGCAAGCCTCCACAAGGAACTTGAGCCATTTCTGTTACGCAGAGTTAAGAAAGATGTGGAAAAATCACTTCCTGCTAAGGTTGAGCAGATTTTAAGAATGGAAATGAGTGCTTTACAGAAACAGTATTACAAGTAAGTTGTAAACTAAGCACATGATCTAAACACTTATATAAATAAGCCCCCTATACTTGTCATATTGAGGTGTTCCATCTCCCCAATAGGGTTTTAAGACAGTAATAATATCTTTTTTTTAATATATTTTATTGATTTAAAAAAAAATTTTTTTTGGCCCCCTCCCTCCCATCTATCCTCCCTCCCCAGAGTTTTATGTCCATTGGTTGTACTTATATGCATGTATACAAGTCCTTCGGTTGATCTATTATCTCCCCCAGATCTTCCTCCCCTCCCCACTGTAATTTGACAGTCTGCTTGTTGCTTTACAAGACAGTAATAATTTTTAAATCCTGTGGCATATTGGGGCAAAGAAAGATTTAATGGCATGGTCAGTGGCATCACCCATCATGAATAATACAAGACTAAGTCATTAACTTTCTTACACATTATTAGTTTTCTATTTCATTTTTTTAATATATATTTTATTGATTTCTTACAGAGAGATAGGGAAAAGGATAAAGAGTTAGAAACATGGATGAGAGAGAAACATCCATCAGCTGCCTCCTGCACAACACGCACTGGGTGTGTACCCACAACCAATGTACATGCCCTTGACCGGAATCGAACTTGGGACCCTTCAGTCCGCAGGCCAACGCTCTATCCATTGAGCAAAACCTGTTTCGGCTCTATTTCATATTTTATAGGGGGTTCCTTTTTAGTGACAGGATTTCCATGGAATTGAGGCATTGTTATATAATTACTAGAGGCCCAGTGCACGGATTCATGCACTGATGGGGTCTCTCAGCCTGACCTGTGTCTTTTTGCAATTATATAATTACATGAACAGATAGAGGTAGAGGCCATAAAGAGAAATTTAGAAAAATATTTAGGTCTGCTGTTTTTTTTTGTTTTGTTTTGTTTTGTTTTTTTAAATATATTTTATTTGATTTTGTACAGAGAGGAAGGGAGAGAGATAGAGTTAGAAACATCGATGAGAGAGAGTCATTGACCAGCTGCCTCTTGCACACCCCCTACTGGGGATATGCCCGCAACCAAGGTACGTGCCCTTGACCGGAATCGAACCCGGGTCCTCCAGTCCCCAAGCCGACGCTCTATCCATTGAGCCAAACCGGTTTCGGCTAGGTCTGCTGTTTTTAATACTAATAAATAATTTTGTATAAGTCATGCATGTCAGATCTTATATAGTAATGAATTAAAAATATCTAATCCTACAAAACATCTATTTAAATATTTAATTGCAAAAATGTACTGCTACATGCATTTGAATTCTCAGAAACGTATTTTATGGTAAACTCTAAGTGCCGTACATTTAAAGAAATAAGTTTATTGCATGAATTTTAGGTTTCTATTATGGAAAATTTCAAACGTATACAAAAAGTGGTTAGTATAATAAATTCCCATCATTCTACTTAGTTTTTTCAACTCTTCCAGTCTTTTATTTAGCCTCCTTTACCTCCTCCACCCCTTATCATTGTGAAGCAAATGAGAGAGATAATTGTTTTAAGTTCCTTTGAAGACTAACATTGTAAAAAGGAAGGAAATAAAAGGTGATAGAAAACAATGTGGTTCATGATGAGAAGAATTGTGTATAATTTGGAATAATAAAATTATCACCCATAATTTTTTCATAACTTGTGTATTATGTAATTGTAATTTAGAGAAAGCATTGTGGCTAAAGTAGGTATTGTTATGAGATTTCTTTTAGGTCTGTGCATGAGCTACCTATGGAATGAAACTTATAGAAGGTTAAGATAGACAATACAATTGACCATTTTTAAAGTAAATTTTTTGGGAAAGGATAAATACACTCTACTCAGCTATGTTACATTAAACCTTTATCATTTTTTATTAATGGTTCAGATAACAAAGTTATCCTTAGTCTTATGAACGAGATCTATCAGTCTTGTGAACAAGATTTGGTCCATTGTATGAAGCTGTTAACTTCCTAGTGGTAAAATTTTGCTTTGATGCTTGATTATTTTTTATGGTTTTAGAATTCATCCTGGTAATTGTCCTCTTCTAAACATCATATTCATTTCTCTCTCTTTTTTGGGACAGATGGATATTAACTAGGAATTACAAAGCCCTCAGCAAAGGTTCTAAGGGCAGTACCTCAGGCTTTTTGAATATTATGATGGAGCTAAAGAAATGTTGTAATCACTGCTACCTCATTAAACCACCAGACAATAATGAATTCTATAATAAACAGGAGGCCTTACAAGTAAGAATTTTTAAGTACTCTAATTTTGGTAAAGCAAAGTTCTAGAAATGTTTTAGTTATAACTGAAAATGGCTTTAATATATTGGTTAGAAATTCTCTTTGGCTAATGTATATCTAAATAATGGTGTTTTTTATCTTTTAATCTTTATCAACACATTTAAAATTATAATTTATACAATTATTTTGATAATTTTTCTAAAAATAGATCTTTCTAATTATGAGCTGTTATAATTTATCCAGCAAATCTTATTGTACTCTTAATTGTGGAAAAAAAATTCACTAATAATGATTATGCTGAATATGTAATGATGGCAAATGGTAGTCTTAAGAAAGGATATCTTGACTTTAGATCTTACCCATCTCACTTCAGAAAGACAAATGAGAAGTGTGAACAAAGTAGTTGATATTCAGTTACAGTATTGCTTTGAAGTGCTAGGATCAAGAAGTTCTATATGAATAAATTAGAATACATTTTCTTACTCTTTCAAAACCTTTGAATGCTTAGTTCCAAGGTATTGTTTTTCAGCTTAGATTTTTTGGGGGAATATTGTAATAAATGGCAAATTGAGACTATGTCTCTTTTTTCTCTGGAAATTATAATAAAAACCTCGGTACCAAGTGGCAAGAAAATTTTTAGTCTAAAGCAAAGCATAGGAGCAAAATGATAAAGGCCACATCCTAGGAGATTTCATAAACTGAAAAATTGTTTTCCAACTTTATGAAAATTTAAAATCTCAATTTCAAGTTGAATTCATGTTTAAGTGGTAGGGCATTTGTTTCATTTGATTAGTTACTTTAAAAATTGTAACAGTTGTAATTTATTGTTTCCTTAGCACTTAATCCGTAGTAGCGGAAAATTGATTCTTCTTGACAAGCTGTTAATTCGCCTAAGAGAAAGAGGCAATAGAGTTCTTATTTTTTCTCAAATGGTGCGGATGTTAGATATACTTGCAGAGTATTTGAAATATCGTCAATTCCCCTTTCAAGTAAGCATTTCATTTTGTCATTTTTGTTTATTTAAATTTCATGGAATTACAGTCTAATAAACCTTTGAAATTCTCCTATAAATGAAGATTTTTATATAAACTACTTACCATTTAAGAAAATGTATGTTTAAAAATTCTATCTGTGATAATTCCTTTTTCTTCTTGACCTTACATTTAATAGCAAAACAATTTTTCTTCAATTTTTCTTTTCTTTTAGTTCTATATTTTCCTTATGTGCTCAAATCTAAAGGATCCAGCCTTATGTATTAGGCTTTATCCTGAGGAAGGAAAAGAGAGAACATTGACTCCTTGTCAGTGTTTTCAGGACAGTTGCAGATTCTGAAGATTTATGTGCTCATAATTATTCTAATACATAATTTGCTGAATAAAACTTGATGACCTTAGAGAAGATAAGAGACCAAAATTAGCTTTTATTCTGTTTATTCAATATTCCAATCTCATATATTCATCATCACAGTCAATTGTAGGTTTTCATCACTTCAAAAAGAAACTGTACCCTTTTACTATCAACATCTGTCTCCCTATTCCACTCCACATCATCACCCTCTGTCTCCCCATTCCCCCCACGGCCCTACCCCATTTCATCTATGTTGGTTTGTTTTTAGGGAAATTTTTATGTATACATAGTCAGATAAAAATAGAGTACAGCTCTGGCTGGGTTGCTCAGTGGGTTGGAGTGTACTATATACCAAAAGGTTGTAGGTTTGATTCCCAGTCAGGGCACATACCTTGGTTTTGGGTTCATTTCCCAGTTGGGACACATACGGGAGGCAACAGATTGATGTTTTTCTCCCCCCACCCCCCTTTCTTCTAAAATCAATGAAAACGTATCATCAGGTGGGGATTTAAAAAAAAAAAAAAGTATATATACACATAGAAATAATGTAGGGGGGGAAGAAGAGGGGTACAAAAGTATTTGTAAGGAACTGTTCTCTGCCCCTAATTACTTCTCCTTTCCAGATCACTTCCTAGAATCATTTTTAACTTCATTTTGGTTTAGGTCATGCCTCAAAAAATGATATTCCACTGTTTTTTGTTTTTTTTTAAGTTTTCATTTATTTTTTACTTGGTATTGATTTCAGAGGGGAATGGAGGGGGAGAGATAGAAACATCAATGATGAGAGAATATCATTGATGGCTGCCTCCTGCACGCCCCCTACTGGGAATTGAGTGGGCAATGACCGGAATTTAACCAAGCCTTCAGTCTGCAGGTTGATGCTCTATCTACTGAGCAAAACCAGCCAGTGCAAAAGTTTTTCCTAATTGTAATTTTTAGTAAAAAAGAAACACTTTAAAATTTCATATTTATTTTGGTCATCTATTGATTAGCTAATGTTTAGTAAGCACTTAGTATGTCAGGCACTGTGCTAAGTGTTTTATTGCATTTTCTCACTGAATCCTTTGTATTCTATTAAGTAAGTAGTACTCTTACGTTACTAAGGATGAAACTGACAAGAATAAAAGCGGAATCACTTGTCTAAGCCACTCATTAATACTCAAATGTGGCTATTTGACTAGAGCCCCAAATTGATGATTCTCAAACATTAGAGGGTTTTTTCTGGAACTCCCTCAGAGCTTCATCAGTCTGGGATGGAGTTCAATAATTTGCATTTCTAAAATATATTGCTTACATAGAGTCTCAGGCAGAATAACAACCTATGCTATTTACTATTCGGGGAAGCAGTCCTCGTGGTTAACAGCACAGACTCCAGAGACATAATGCCTGGTCAGTGTTTTACACTCTTACAGTTTTAGCAAAAGCAATGCTGAATTTTTATACATAATTTCATAATTTATTTTAAATTCTGTGTGGTATTTTAATGTGTTTTATTCTAGAGATTAGATGGATCAATAAAAGGGGAGTTGAGGAAACAAGCTCTAGATCATTTTAATGCTGAAGGATCAGAGGTATGGATGCTTTTAAAATTATAAATTGTTTTATTCATTATTTTTGTCATACTTGTAGTTTTTAAAAAACATCTTATTGGTGGAATTAATTTGATTTGCAAGTCAGGTTTTTAAATTAATATTGTATGTTATAGAACAGTGGTCTGCAAACTCATTAGTCAACAGAGCCAAATATCAACAGTACAATTGAAATTTCTTTTGAGAGCCAATTTTTTAAAAATTTCTTCTAACATCACTTCTTCAAAATAGACTCACCTAGGCTGTGGTATTTTGTGGAAGAGCCATACTCAAGGGGCCAAAGAGCCGCATGTGCCTTGCAAGCCGCAGTTTGCCGACCACGGTTATACAGTGTTAATCTTAATACTATTTTAGCATAAAACAGTTAATTTGCGTTAAAGTAAATTAGCCCACTTTCATTGAAACATATTTTTATTTTTTTTAAGTTCAAAAAGTGAATAATAATATACTCATATTGATTATTTTGAATGATAATTTGGAAGAATTAAAAATTGTGCCTATTTATAATTCCTTACAGGATTTCTGCTTTTTGCTTTCCACAAGAGCTGGAGGTCTAGGAATTAATTTAGCCTCAGCTGACACTGTGGTTATATTTGATTCTGATTGGAATCCACAAAATGATCTTCAGGCGCAGGCTAGAGCTCATCGTATTGGGCAAAAGAAACAGGTATTCTTTATTCCTAAATAATCCCCTAATTATTTTTTTTCCAGTTTTTGCCTTTAATCAGTGAAAACTTCACAAGGGGATGAGCTTCAGTCTATATTCTAATATTTGGGTACTTCATATTAGCAAAACAAATCCTTTTCATTTCAATTTGTTTCATCATGCATATCTTCACAGGTGAATATTTATCGTCTAGTTACAAAGGGATCAGTGGAAGAGGATATCCTTGAAAGGGCCAAAAAGAAGATGGTTCTAGATCATCTTGTGATTCAAAGAATGGACACAACTGGCAAGACAGTGCTACATACAGGTTCTGCCCCCTCAAGGTAGTCACTTTACTATAAAAACTGTCACTTTAGAATCTTAATACATTCATTTTTTTAATGTTATATACTATAAGCAGATCATTAAAGTACTATTTTTAGTGTAATATATACATTTTTAAAGCATTGGACTAATTTCTAGTCAAAGACTTAAATTCAATACCTAATTTCACCATTCCAGTTTTGTAATCTTGGGGAAAATCCCTTTAACATTTAGGCCTCAAGTTATTTTCATTGTAAAATAAGTATACTACAATGCTTCATCTATCTATGTTATGAGGTGATTATGACAATAATTAATAAAGGTGCCTTAAAAATGTTAAATTTTTCATTGTGAATGTTGTCTTTTTATTTGCTTTTCCTGATTTTAGTTCTACTCCTTTCAATAAAGAAGAGTTGTCTGCCATTTTAAAATTTGGTGCTGAGGAACTTTTTAAGGAACCTGAAGGAGAAGAACAAGAGCCCCAGGTAAAAAAAAAACCAAAATGTGTTATCTATTTTAAACTATATTTAACTACAAAGTATGTTTATTTTAAAATATGTTAAAGTATGTTTAAAGATTTTTTTCTAATTATAGGAAATGGATATCGATGAAATCTTGAAGAGGGCTGAAACTCATGAAAATGAACCAGGCCCTTTAACTGTAGGAGATGAATTGCTTTCCCAGTTCAAGGTAATTTTTCTTTAAAATATTTCTTTATAGTTATATAAGTTGAGAAAAGCAGGCTTAATTTCTTAATAATTTTGTTTTAAAATTTGTCAAGGTGCATAAATTTTTTTCCTCATTCTGACAAACCAGTAGCTAATTTTAAAGGGAGCAAATAATATATGAATAGTTAAATTTAGTAGAGTGGGGAGGGATACTATTTCCTTAAATTAGCACCTACAACAGTGCTCAGCCAATAGAATGTCCTCAAATATTTTGGTAAAAGAATGACTGTGGTCCCTTTTTTAGATTTCCATGGCTAAGTCTTTTATCTGATTTTTTTATTGGAGCAGTTTTAGACATCAGGTTAATTTAAGCATTAACACAACTGAGAAACTTGAAATCAGTCAAAGTAAGCTGTAAGCTCCTATTAATACTTATAAATACTCTTGGTTTGATTAAGGCTAAAAGGCTGCCAGGAATCCTAAAGCAATGTAAGATAACCGATCTCATCCTTTATAATAAAAGCCTAATATGCTAAGTGTTTGGTCATCTGATCAGCCATTCAGCCAATAAGAGTAATCCTAGCTAATAAAGAGGGAATATGCTAATTGACTGCCACACCCTAAAATATGGTGGCACCCAGCCACCCAGGGCACCCTAGACTCAGGTAACCAGGGCCAGCCAAGACTTGCACTGCCAGCAGTGGCAGCAGAAGTGTGATGGGGGTATGGCCTTCTCCTGATTGCCGGGTCGCCTCCTGCCCCTGAGGGCTCCCGGATTGTGAGGGGGGGCAGGTGGGGCTGAGGGACCCCACCCCTCCAGTGCATGGATTTTCTTGCACTGGGTCTCTAGTATGCAAATGATATGCTAAGGTTGCTTAACTGCTTGCTATGACGTGCTCTGACCAACAGGGGGCCAGACAGTCAACCGGTCACTATGACATGCACTGACCAACAAGGGGTAGACGCTCTAACCTGTCAAGCTTGCTGCTGGGGTCCAGCTGATTGGGACTGAGCTAGACGGGCCAGACACATCCTGGAGCCCTCCTGTGGTCCTGCTCCACCTGGCCAACCTCCTGTGTCCTTTCCTGGCCCTGATTGTGCACCAGTGGGGACCCTCCGCTTATCTTGGGCTCTCTTTGCAATCTGGGACTCCTTGGGGAATGTCAGAGAGCCAGTTTCGGCCTGATCCTGCAGGACAGGCCAAGGTACCCCATTGGTGTACGAATTCGTGCACTGTGCCTCTAGTAGAGTAATAAGTGGTGCACCAATTAATCTATAATAAAAGGCTAATATATAAATTGACCAAACAGTGGAATAACCAGCAGACAATTAACACAGGAGCTTCCCCCTAGTGGTCAGTGTACTCCATCAGGGAGAGTGCCACTCAGCCAGAAGCCCTGAGCAGAGCTCATGGCTGGCAATTGAAGCAGGGGCAGGAGCCTTTTCCACCTCTGCGGAGGCACTAAGGATGTCCTAAGCCATCAGTCAGACATCCCCTAAGGGCTCCTGGACTGTGAGAGGGTGCAGGCTGGGCTGAGGGACACCCACCTTACCCTCAGTGCATGAATTTTGTGCGTCAGGCCTCTAGTTTAGTATAAAAGAGCAGGTTCCTCTGTATTCTAGCTACTGTCTATGAACTGAAGATTTTAAGGATCAGTCCAGTTTGTCATTTGTTCACTCAACAATGTATTGAGTACCTGCAATGTAATTTGCCTTGTATAGGGACACAACAGTAATACAAACTTATGTAATTAATTGATCACTGTGATGCACAGTAGAGGATATACTGTATTGAGAAAAGAATTAAACAGGGAGATAAGTTTGAAGATTATTTCAGTAATTATGAGAAGTGAATGTTTCTGAAACTTTCACTGACTCTGGCTAGTCTATTTACTTTTTCTTTACATAAAGGTACACTATTTGCTTTTTTATTTTGGCTAATTGAAAAATTGGAAGAAGTCACCGATAAATTAACTAGAGTATAAATTTATTGGAGACTGATTTTTATTTTTGTACCAGAGATTTTATAACTCACACAAAACTGGCTTTAAATAATAGGCCTGAGAGAATAAACACTTGTTTTCAGTCCCATTCCTTATATAGGATAAGCTTAGTTTTCTTGTCTTCATCCAGTTATCTATAAGTTTTAATGTACTAATATTGGTAATTAGCTTTATAAGTACTTTCTTATACCAGACAGCACAGTTATTTAAATATATCTTATTTAAACCTCACAAAAGTTAGTGTATTATTAATATTACTTTTGTTTTAGAGATGAAAAAATTAGGGGTGGAGAACCTAAATAAATTTAGTATCTCAGGGCTCCTGTAGCTTGTCAGTAGCTCTTGGGGTATTATTTTTATGAAAATAAAAATAAGAATATTGGATTGTTCTATAGTAGTTAGTAGTTAGTTGACGGGTGTGGTAATTCCTGCAGAAGAAATTTAGCATGTTGCTAATATAAATTACTTTATTATTCTCTTAACCTTCTCTAGTTCTGCTGTAATAGTTTTAATGAGTAGCAGGATAAGAGAGAATTATTCCTGACAAAGAATTCTTAGAAGTCATTTGGTTTGATCTACTTTGACCTAATAAATAAATAAACTTAATTTAGCATTCAGCATTCATACTTGGTTTACTCCATAGTCATATTCATTATCCTTTTATGCCACTTTTTCACCACCAAAAAAGAAAAATAAAATTTAAATGTGAGTTGTTTTTTTAATGCTTACTCAGTTAATATTCTGGAATTCATTAGGTTGCCAACTTTTCAAACATGGATGAGGATGACATTGAGTTGGAACCTGAACGAAATTCAAAGAATTGGGAAGAAATCATTCCAGAAGATCAAAGAAGACGATTAGAAGAGGAAGAAAGACAAAAAGAACTTGAAGAAATTTATATGCTTCCAAGAATGAGAAACTGTGCTAAGCAGGTGACTTTTTAATTTTAAATATATTTTTATAATGAAAGAATATTCACATCTGGATTTATGTTTTTTCTTTTAATGAAAGATACTGGTTTATAGTTTTCATGTAATGTCTTTATCAGATTTGATAATGCTTCATAAATTGAGTTGAAGAGTGTTCCCTCCTATTTTTGGTCAGAGTTGTGTAAATTGTTAATATTTTTTAATTAAACATATGGTAGTATTTTTTAGGGAAACTTTCTAGGCCTGGAGTTTTCTTTGTTAGAAGAATTTTAAACTATTATTTCAGCTTCTTTTCTAAATATGGATTATTCAGAATATCTTTTTTTTTTTTTTTTTAAGTGAATTTGGTAGTGTGTTTCTTTCAAGTGATTGGTCCATTTTATTCAAGTTGTTTAATTTATGGGCATAAAGTTATTCATAATATCCTTTTTTATCCTTCTAGTGTCTATAAAATATTCCTCTCCTTAATACGGCTAAGTATTCTCATGATCATTCTAGGTAGACGTTTATTTTATTTATCTTTTCAAGGGATTACCTTTTGGTATATTGATTTTCTGTATTAAATTTGATTTCTGCTCTTTATTATTTATCCTTTTTTTTTTTTTTTTTTTGCTTTAATTTGCTCTTTTTTTCTGCCTTAAGATATAAGCTTAGACCATTGCATCAAGACCTTCCTTTCCTAATATTAGCTTTTAATGCTACAAGTTTCCCCTAAGTACTACTTTTCTGAACCTCCAATTTTTGATATCTGGTGTGTTTTCATTTACTCAAAATATTTTTTTTTTCCCTTGTGGCTTTCTCTTTAACCCATTGGTTCCTTTTTTTTAGAAATATGTTGTTTAATTTACAAATATTTGGGAGATTTTCCAGGTATCTTCATTAGTAATTTCTAGTTTAATTCTGTCATGGCCAGAGAGCTTTCACTGTATGGTTTGAAGTTTTAAAAAATAATTGATTGTTTTGTGGCCCAAATGAAAAAAATAGATTTTTAGTTAATGATAACAGTGCCACCCTAAACTATTTTGAATCCTGCTGCAAAAGGAAAAAAACCTTAATACTAGAGTTTTTGCATTAACTTTTGGTTTTTTAGGATATTGTGTTATAATTAAGTTATCTTTTATTACTGAGTTTTTTGGTGCCTCAAGTTTTGAGGCAACTGGGGAACTTGCCTCACCCTAGTCCTTGGCCTGTTACTCTTCTCCTAAGGTAGGGTTTTTAGTTTTCTTTTCCTACAACTATATTAGGTCTTCTCCTATGCACTCAGCTCAGAAGCTGAGATGGGTCTTGGCAAGATTTCCTGCCTATATTCTGAAAGATGACTGCTCTCTTCATGGCTGCACCACAAAGTCGAGTTTTCTCTGATTTCTCTCTTGAGCACCTGGTGTAGATTTGTAGAAAAGTGCTTGAGAGTGGGTGCAGATTCTCCTTTTGTCTTTGGTTCTCAGGGATTCAGCCTTTAGCAAATTTTTAACTTCACCATACCTGATTTTATAGTACTTGATGTCCACCATTCACGTTCTTCCCAAGTGAGCCAGTATTTGAGCCCCATCTCTTACACGCTACTGTATTTCCTTATATTTGAGACTGTTAGATTGCCTTGTGATTTTTATGTGTTTAAAAAAATGATGATTTTTTAAATTAGATTTTAGAGATTATGATTTTTATTGTTATTGTAGGAGCAACCTACCAACTTCATACATCCCACTCAGATATGGAGCCAACTAATGTGTTGGCCTGAAAGTGACCATTCTTGTAGTTTTTTGTTTGTGTTTATTTTTTCAAAACCTATAATGGTTTCCTTTTACTGTGGATGGGAAACATAGCATTATATTAGATCTTATAAAAGGTGGATAGAACAGTAAAAACTAAATGCCCATTCTTAACTTACAATAAGCTTTCAGCATATTAAAGGTATTCAGAATATTTACTGAGACTTTGGAAAAATGCTAAAGACTTACAGAAAATATGCTTTGGTATATTTGTTAAACAACTAATGGATATTTTTATGTGGGTTCAACTGGCATTTTTTTTTTTTTTTTAAATATCTGTTCAACCTAATTAGAATACTACTAAGTGGATACTTAGAACAGATAAAAATGACACATAATCTGTTCGCCCAGAGGTAATTATTAATAATATAAATTATGGTATACATAATTCCAATATTTTTATACATATGTGCCAAATTTAATTGGATATTAATTTGGAAGGTGATTTATTTCCTTTGACAGTATATAAGGAATGTTATTCTACAAAATTTTTTTTTTATAATCCTCACTTGAGGGTATGTTTTTATTGATTTTAGAGAGAGAGGGAGAAACGTGATGTAAGAGAGAAACATCAATCAGTGCCTCCTGTTTGTGCTCTGAAACCATAACCTTTGGGGGCATGGGATGGTGCTCCAGCCAACTGAGCCACCAAGCCAGGGCTACAACACAATTTTTAAAAATATATATATTTTATTGATTTTTCACAGAGAGGGAGGGAGAGAGATAGAGATTTAGAAACGTCAATGAGAGAGAAACATCGACCAGCCGCCTCCTGCACACCCCCCACTGGGGATGTGCCCGCAACCAATGTACATGCCCCTGACCGGAATCGAACCTGGGACCCTTAAGTCCACAGACCAACGCTCTACCACTGAGCCAAACCAGCTTCGGCAACAACACAATTTTTTATGGCTTTCTTAAAACTTCCCATTGTATAGGTTATTTGTCCAGTCTCTTTGATGAACATTTAGATTTTTTGCTATTTAAAAAAGAAGTCTATGCTGTAAATGACTTTATTGGCAAATCTTCCCGCACATTTCTCATCTTAGAAAATATCTCTGAAATGATGTTGCTGTGTCAGCAGAATGACAATTTTCAAGGCTTTTAATTTAATATCGCTAAATTGCCTTCTGACCCAGTTTAAATACCCAGTAGAAGTATTTTACTGTTCATTTTTTCCCCATTACCAATATTAGCTATTACTGCTTAGCGGTCAATTTGATGGATTAATAAAAGAATTCCATTTCATTGTTCTCATTTTTAAAAAGTGTTACCAATGAGTTTGAATGATTTTATACTTACGTTATTTGATTAATTGCTTGGTAATAACTTTAATCATTTTTACAAAAGGACAGTGGTGTTTTTCTTTAGGTTTATAAGAATGTGTATGTAATAACTGTATCATTAACATGCTATATTCTGTTTATTTTTTAAATTTATTTTTATAGAATATTTTTGATTCATAGAAAAGCATTTCAAGTTTTTAAATTCTGTCAGTCTTATATAATTTTCTTTGCTCTAAGTTTGGGTAAATTTTTGTTCAAATTCCAGATTAGTTTCAATGGAAGTGAAGGGAGGCGCAGCAGAAGCAGAAGATATTCTGGATCTGATAGTGATTCAATCTCAGAAAGGAAAAGGCCAAAGAAACGTGGAAGACCACGAACTATCCCTCGAGAGAATATTAAAGGATTTAGTGATGCAGAAATTCGGCGGTAAGATGATGTGACACCATTTTACTTCATTTTATTTTTATCAGAGGGTGAAAATAAAATACAGAAATCCCAACATTTTAAAGATGAAGGTGAAAGTTTTAGAGGAAGCAAATATATGAAAATTGTTTAGGAATTGGGTGGGTTCTGCTTTTGTGTGTTCATTATAACTATGAGACAAAAAATGTTTGACATCTAATCTTTGCATATTATTTATTTATTGTTAGTCTTCTATTTAGATTGTTAAAATCTATTGGTTTTATTGTGGTTCAGAACAGTGGCCTTTTTGAATAATGAATGTATATTCCAATATATTAGACTTATTTAATAAAAGTTCTCACTGCACTTCTGACTCTTAACATTACTATTTTTATGTGGGGATAATTTAGTTCCATATTTTTGTAGTTTTTTAATTCTGAAGTAATTCGTTTTTTGAAACTAACCATGTTAAGGGTATTTCTGATATGTCCAAGTAGGAATTGAGGTAAGAATGGGTAGTAAGATAAATTGTAGTTTTCTTTCAAAATATATTTATGTGTATATACAGATATGTTTAAGGGGAATAGAATAACTTTACCTTTGTTTATGTAATAATTTTGCTTATGAAATTTGTAAAAAGGTTGTTCATTATTGTATTTTGAGAGTTTGTTTCTTTCAAGCCATTGTAACTCTTTTCTTTTACATCATAGACCTGACCGATAAAGTTCTTCCTCATTCTTTCTACCAGAAAATTAAATGTTATTAGATTTTGTTAAGGGTATTTTGTGACCACTGATTTGCTGGACTTTCTGTCTTTAGTTGAAGAGGCATTTCAACTTTTCTGGATATTTTTCCTCATCCATCAGCCACTTGGGTAGCTTTGTTCTTAAGTAAATTTTTAATTTACCATTGTTGGTATAATACCCTAATTCTGAATTAAAGCTATTTTCAGTAAATTTTATCAACACTTGGAATGTTAGGAGGTGCAATATGATTGATAATTCTGGAGACACTTCCTGTGGTAGCCTTGAACCTTATTTTGTCTTGTGAAAAAAAATAAAGTAATTTCTAAAATAAAATTTAGCTTCTATTGTTTTATTTGTATTGGTTTCTAAACATCATCCTGGGTGTTAATTTCTTGTCTTACTTTGCTATGTTTTAATGTTTTAACATTTTGGTTTCTAGCATAGTTTATTCGTTTTTGTCAGTAACTACGTTGAATTAATTTGTACTCTAACAAGTATTTCCTTTTTTCTATATATTTATAAATTTATCTATTGTTTAATGAGTAGTGAAGCCTGCATTTAAATCAAACAATTATTTTCTGCTAGGTTTATCAAGAGTTACAAGAAATTTGGTGGCCCTCTAGAAAGGTAAATACATCTGTTTTTCTCATAGAATCATAGTATGTTTTATGTTCTTGTCAGGGTTTTTTGTTTATACTAATATTTAGTTTAGGTACTTCGTTAAATTTGCTTTTAATGGACATTTACAAAGTTAATCTGTAGAAAGCAAAATTCAAGTAATTTTGAAAAATGTTTTACTGCCATCCTTAATCCTTTCTAGTCCCTAAAATTTTATCTGCCAATGAATTTTCCTATAAAATACTTTTTATTTTTATAATTTTCAAGGTACTTTCAAAGGCTTTATCATTTTTTCAGTGAAAAACTTATAACTAGCAGATTCATTCTTAGGAAAACTGAGTTGCTTACCTAGCCACCTTACTTAAAGACCTATTTTATTTTCTCTTACTAGGGAAACTCTGTTTTTCTAAATACAGCTTTCTCTTACACAAACTGTACTAAAATAAAATTATCAAGACAGTTTTTGTTTTTTTTATTATAGTTATCTGTTAATTTTAGTCATTATTATTTGGATATTCTTTGTTCTTTGTTATGGTGAATCCATTGTCTGGATATAGAATGGCAAAGACTAAAATTGGTTTAACATTTTTTCTCTACACAATTCCTTTTTATTTTGAGATGACTTGCATATAGTACAGTAAAAGACTTGAATATTTTATGTGATGATGAAAAAACCATGAACATTAATAATCATATTATCTAGTCTACATAGTAAGCACTTCTTTTGAATTTAAGATCTGGTCAGTTATAAAAAGGTCTTATAGAATTCTATATAATCCTATATAATAAAAGCATAATATGCAAATCAACCAAACTGGTTGATATGACATGCAGTGACAACCAGGGGGCAGACACTAAATGCAGGAGTTGCCCCCTAGTGTTCAATGCACTCCCATAGCGGGAGCTCCGCTCAGCCAGAAGCCGGGCTCATGAGTGGTGAGCCCAGCAGCTACGGTGGGAGCCTCTCCCACCTCTGCTGCAGGCAGGCTGTAAGGAGCGAGAGGTCCCGGACTACAAAGAGGCACATTGTCAAAACTGGTTTGGCTCAGTGGATAGAGCATCAACCTGTGGACTGAAAAGTCCCAGGTTCAATTTCGGTCAAGGGTATGTACCTTGGTTGCGGGCACATCCTCAGTAGGGAGTGTGCAGGAGGCAGCTGGTTGATGTTTCTAGCTTTCTATCCCTCTCCCTTCCTCTCTGTAAAAAAATCAATAAATTTTTTTTTTTTTTTTTTTTTTTTTTTAAGGCACAGGCCAGGCTAAGGGACAAACCCCCCTTCCCCTGTGCATGAATTTTGTGCACCAGGCCTCTAGTTATCACATAATCTTCAAATTTGGAGAATATCACTTGTTCTGTAATGAATTGGTTTACTTTAATTATCATTGAATATATAGATGAATTGTTTCCCCATCAAATCTTTCTGATTTTTATTTATCTTATGCCAATTATATGAACTAAAATTTGTAAAGCATGATTTGTAGAATTTGAGATGAAATGAAATTTAGTCTGCATATTTACCTGATAATTGTATTATTTATTACAGATTGGATGCAATAGCTCGAGATGCTGAATTAGTTGATAAGTCAGAGACAGACCTCAGACGACTAGGAGAGTTGGTACATAATGGTTGCATTAAAGCTTTGAAGGATAATTCTTCAGGAACAGAACGGACAGGTAATATTAAAATGAGAATGATTTAAAGAGAGGTAAATGGAACTTTTAAAATATGCTTTTATTGAGTTAGATATTACATCTTAAGTTACCTGTTCATCAGTCTTAAAAGAATATTAGTTTTGGGCATAGTTACTTTATTGTGCTTATTTCACAATTCATCCACTAAATAAAAATATTTAGAAAAGATTTAATAATCAGATGTACTGAAAAAGAAAATCATTCTGAGAAATTATTGATCATATCAATAGATTGATGTACCTTCTGCAGTAGATAAAAACACTTAAAGTACATGAAATGCTTTTTATGAATCCACATCTCCAATATTAACAATCACTAATATGTACTAAAAAATCTTGTAGTAAAATTTAAGGTTTGCCAGCAAGTTCTCCCCAAACATAAATAATACTAATTAATAAATGTAAGTAATAGTTATTAAACTAAATAATAGCATACATTACTTTTTTTATTTTGTAGTTATATATTTCACACTTTTTTTACTCTTTCTTAAAAAAATTAAGGTGGTAGACTTGGAAAAGTAAAGGGTCCAACATTCCGAATATCAGGAGTACAAGTGAATGCCAAGTTAGTCATCTCCCATGAGGAAGAATTAATACCATTACATAAATCCATTCCTTCAGATCCAGAAGAAAGAAAGCAGTGAGTTGTTTACTTTTTCCATTGTAAAATGTGAAATTTCTTATTACTCAATAATTTGGATATGAATGTAGGTTAAAATGTTTTTTTATATCATTAGCTAGTTTGACTGAAATGTTTTTGAAAATAAAATAAAATTTTGAATGATTCATATATGTTAACATTTTAAAAATTAATTTTTAATAAGGCAATTATAAACTTAACAATGGTTATTAATTTTAATGGTAGGTACACTATCCCATGCCATACAAAGGCTGCTCATTTTGATATAGACTGGGGCAAAGAAGATGATTCCAATTTATTAATTGGCATATATGAATATGGATATGGAAGCTGGGAAATGATTAAAATGGATCCTGACCTCAGTCTAACACACAAGGTACTTAAAAATTTCTTGATTCTGATGTTGAATTTAATTTTGCTTTTAAATTATGTTAGAACCTGGTTGGTGTGGCTTACTGATTGAGCATTGATCTCTGAGTTCAAAGGTCATGGTTTGATTCCTGGTCAAGGCACATGCCTGGCTTGTAGGCTTGATCATTGATGTTCCTGTTGCTCTCTTCCACTCTCAAATAACAAAAAAATGTTTTAAATTATATTAAAAATAAACTCAACTTGGTGTCAGGAAACAAAGGCTCTAGATGGTTGTGTGACCTTGGCTTCTTTAGAATCTGGTTTTCATGAAGGGATTTCATGAATTTAAATTTCCTCTTAGATTTTGCTTTACCTCTAAAATTATATTTTTGTTAAGATATTTTTTTTTAGCTTAAAAGTAAATCTTTCATTTCATCAATAACTAGATTATTCATGGGAAAAATAATTTTTGTAATGTCAAACCATTTCTGATGATTTGATATTACTACATTAATGAAATCATTTCTTTGCCTAGAATGGAAACCACTGAAAGCATTGCCTTATTCTTATCATTTAAGATCTCTTTTTATATTTTACTTCTTCACAGATAAATGGGAATCTTGAGATACTAGAAATTGGTTATTTGCTTCTTTGAAGCAAAACTAGAGTCCTACTGTAAAAATTTCCTCACAGTGCCTGTTATGGATTATCTTCTAGATAGATGCTACCTTGTATTCTAGGAAGTTTTATTTTATTTAATACATCTTTATTCAGATTATTACAGTTTTTCCTCTTTTTTCCCCCCATAGCTCCCCTCTACCAGGTTCCTACCCCATCCTCTGCCCTTACTTCACACACACACACACACACACACACACACACTGTCCTCATCCATAGGTGTATGATTTTTGTTCAGTCTCTTCCTGCACCCACAGTCCCCTTTTTCCTTGAGAATTGTCAGTTCACTCCCTTTCTATGCCCCTAATTCTATTATATTCACCAGTTAATACTGTTCATCAGATTTTTTATTCCCTTGGTTTTTAGATTCAGTTGTTGATAGATATGTATTTGTTGTTCATAATTTTTATCTTTACTTTTTTCTTCTTCCTCTTCTTAAAGAACTTTCAGCATTTCATATAATACTGGTTTGGCAGTGATGAACTCTTTTAGTTTTTTCTTATCTGTGAAGCTCTTTATCTGACCTTCAATTCTGAATGATAGCTTTGCTGGGTAGAGTAATCTTGGTTGTGTAAGTTCTTGCTATTTATAACTTTGAATATTTCTTGCCACTCCCATCTGGCCTGCATAGTTTCTGTTGAGAAGTCACCTGACAGTCTTATGTGTGCTCCCTTTTAGGTAACTGTTTTCCTTTTAATATTCTCTCTGTCTTTTGTTCTTGGCATTTTGATTATGATGTGTCCTGATATGGTCCTCTTTGGATTCCTTTTGTTTGGGTTTCTGTGTGTTTCCTGGACTTGTAAGTCTAGTTATTTCACCACTTGGGGGAAGTTTTCTGTCATTATTTCTTCAAACAGGTTTTCAGTATCTTGCTCTCTCTCTTCATCTGGGACCCCCATAATTCTGAAGTTGGTATGCTTGAAGTTGTCCCAGAGACTCCTTACACTATCTTCAACTTTTTTGGATTCTTTTTTTCTTTTTGCTTTTCCGGAGGAGTGTTTTTTGCTTCTTGGTATTCCAAATCTTTGACTTGATTCTTGGAATTCTCTAGTCTGCTTTTAGGTCTCAATATAATATTTTTTAATTTGTCACTGTATGCTTAATTTCTAGTTTATCCTTTTTCATAACCTCGAGGGTCTCACTGAATTTATTGGCCTTTTCTAGAAAATTCTTAAAAATCTTATTACTATGGTTTTGAACTCTATGTCCAGTCTTTTGCTTTCTTCCATTTCCTTCATTTGTGGCCTGCCTCTTTGTCTCCACATGTTATCTGCTTCCCTGAGTTGATGGAATTGCTTTGTATGCTAGGCGTCCTAGCAGGGCCCAGTAGCTAGCCTCCCTAGTTACCAGAGGTGGGCACTCTTGGTGCAACCCTTTGTGGTCTGTGTGTGCAGTCTTGTTGTAGTTAAGCCTTGATTGTTGTTGGTATCTCTAGGGTGATTTGACCTTCAGGCCAATTGGCTGTGAAGATCAGCAATGTCTCCACTGGGAGGGCTTCTGTGCTCGGCTTTGATAGGGTGGAGTCTCAGGGTGGAGCAGACAGCCTTGGTTTCCTGTCAGCCCTGCCCTATGAGGGCCCTGAGTCTGTGTCCCATGGCAATGGCTGTGTGCACCTCTGAGAGAAGGCTACTCTTGAGTTTCTTCCACTACCAGACAGTCCAGTTTCTTCCCGAATGAGTCTGGTACCAAATCTCACCCGGAGGTGGATTTCAGTGCAGTCGGGAGGCTTTGTTTTCCTCCCGAATGAGAAAGCTAGCTGTGCATTAGCTGCCCATGCTCTCCACATGCTGCAAGAGATGCCATCCCTTTCCACGCACACAGGTTTTCATACCTCCACAGTTCCTCTGAGTTTGTGTCCTTTTCTCTTTTCTTCTAGTTGTAGAATTTCCACTCAGCCAGCTTTCTGGTGGTTCTGGACGATGTCCGCTCTTCCAGATGCAGTTTTAAAATAGTTGTGCGAGGTAGCAGTATAGATCTTTATGCCTCCATCTTGTTTTCTCCTCTATTCTAGGAAGTTTTGTGTACTTTATAGATCATATACTATAATGAGAAAGGAAGGAAATCTAAGAATACCATAGTCTATAATAATAAAAGGGTAATATGCTAATTATCGCAGAAGTCTTTTGGACAAAGCCACAGTGGCTGCCTGAGGCTTAGTCAAGCTCTGGATGGTGACTGCTGCTACCATGGCCTTCCTCTACCAGGGCCTGCCTGAGGCTCAGGCAAGCCGCGGTGGCTGTGAGGGCCAAGGCTCAGGCAGCCACAGCTGCTGGCAGGGGTTGCAGCAGAGGCGTGATGGGGGTGTCACTTTCTCCTGATTGGCCCAGTCGCCTCCCGCAGAGGGAGGCCACAGGCAGCAGAGTGAGGGGTGATGGGGGCCATGCCTTGCCCTGAGGGCTCCCAGACTGTGAGAGGGGGCAAGTCAGTCTGAGGGATACACACTGGCCCGCCCTCCCCCCCAGTGCATGAATTTTCATGCACCCGGCCTCTAGCGTTTAATAAACACTTGATGCTAAATACACTATTGTATATTTGGAAGAAATTTTCAACCTCACACTGCATTCCATTTTGAAGAGGGATTTTTTCCCCCTTCATTGTGTATTTATTTAAAATTCTTTCCTGATAAACTGATCTTTACTGTGTCATAGATATTAAAACACTTATTTTTTTATTCTAAGTTTATTCCTAAATATCGAAATAGTTATAATTTGTTAGTGAGTTGCATATATTTAAAAAATAAATAAGCACTTTTTAGCTTTAATTTTTTTCATTTTGTAAAAGACAAACTGAAAAAATTGTTTTTCAGATTCTTCCAGATGACCCTGATAAAAAACCACAAGCAAAACAGTTGCAGACTCGGGCAGACTACCTCATCAAATTACTTAGTAGAGATCTTGCAAAAAAAGAAGCTCAAAGACTTTCTGGTGCAGTAAGTTAAAATTCATATGCTAAAAAGCAATTTACTTTTAAGACAAGTCTATCTTACTAATTGCCTTCGACCAGTAATTTTCACCATTTTCTTTTCGTGACAAAAACTAAGTAGGGGCCCATTGCATGAATTTGTGCACCTTGAAAGGAACTGTGGGCTGTGAGGCTGTGGTAGGCACAGGGGTAGGTCTTGGCCTATCCTCCATGCTCCCACCTGGCTCCTTCCACCATGGTCCTTAGTTCCTGTCTGATGGCAGCCACGCACCTGCCACCACCACTCCCACACACTGACAGCGCCGGCCCCACTTGCAACCTCTGAAGGCAAGGAGCAATTGGGTCCGGTGCCAGCAGCAGGTGTGAGCAAGGCTGGCACCATTAGCAGGTCTGAGTGGTAGCTGCTGCCCTGATTGCTCCTCAGGAGCTGGGGGAGGTGGAGACGCCCTCAGAAGTGATCATGGCACTGGCAGCAGCTGTGAGAGGCCGCTGCTTGCTCTGATTTCCTCTCAGGAGCACAGGGAGGTGGAGAAGCCCTGAGAGGGGCTGTTGGGCTTGAAGCTGCTGCTCACACCTGCTGACAGCGCCAGTGGGTCTGAATGGCATCTCTGATCCTGGCAGCAGGTGTGAGCAGGGCTGGTGCTGGCAGCAAGTTCAAGCACTAGGTGGGACTATGTCACACGGGAGCAGATAATTTTCAGTAACCATCACGGGATTCGCCCTGATGACAGCAACCAGTGCCCTGCCTTGTTCCGGCACCCCCCACTTGCCTGCTTCACCATCCCACCACAGCTGACACCTGCCATGTTCCATGCACACTCCCTGGTGGTCAGTTCTGGTCATAGTGAATGGTTGTTCAATTGCTCTGGTTGTTCTGCCACTCAGTCTATTAGCTTTTTATTATATAGAGCTACTAAAAATTATATTTTGTGCTGATCTGACAAAAAATTAGGAATATATTTTATTCATTCACACCAGACAGCTGTTGTTATGCTGGCTGTTTTTTATATCTGACAATCTAAGGAAAAAGAGGTAAGTGCCCATGACTACATAGTCCAGTATTGCATATTTTGAAAATTCTTGCAGCACACCAGTATGGCAATGCACACCAGCTGACAACCGCTGCCCTAGAAAGAAATCTGAGGTTAATATGAACTTACAAGTGTATTTTTCCATAATTTAGTAGTGTCACTTGAATATAGTAATATTTTACCTTAAATTATCTCAGCATTCATGTTAACTCTGATGAGTCTTGTATTTCAGAAGTGAGATTACTTTTTACTTTAGTATTTAGAGAGGGAATGGGGGCAACTTGTTTAGAATGGAGTCCGTTTTTGAAAGTTCAAACCTCCATTACTGTGTTATTTGGAGACATTGGAAAGCTTAAGGAGTAGCGTTAAAGATCACTGAGCTTATTTATGAGGGGCTCCAAAAAAGTAGGAAGAAGACACTAAAAGGTGATTGGAACTTTAGAAATCTTTAAAAATTTATTTATGACAATAATGTCATAATTACATATGTGCCATTAAAAATAATTTTTAATGCTACTCTGGTAGCATTGAATTTAGTTGAAGATATTAATTTAGGATGGGAAAAAAAACCCTCCTTCTGTTTCTCTCTGCTTCATTTTTATTAAGTTGCTAGAAGCCCATAGTGCAAAATCGCGCAGCCATAGTGCAAAATCGCGCAGCCATAGTGCAAAATTGCGCAGCCTTGCCTACCTGTACACACCTCGCCACAGGTGCAGTCCCACCCACCCGTACAAATCTTTGGCTGTAAACGGCATTAGTACCACTAGGTTTTTATAATATAGATATGATGTGTGTTGACTTTCTAAGCTTGGTGTATAGATTTTTCCAACAGGCTAAGGATTGAGTCAAACTATTTGTTTCTTTACTTTATGATTCAATATTTAAGAAGCTTTTTTAATAAATGGGATCTGTGGAATTGATTAGAATAAAAATAATTCTTTTTAGGGAGGTTCAAAGAGGAGAAAAGCTAGAACTAAGAAGAATAAATCAATGAAGTCTATAAAGGTGAAAGAGGAAATAAAGAGTGATTCTTCTCCTCTGCTCTCAGAAAAGTCCGATGAAGATGATAAGGTAAGAATGTGTTTTAGAAAAGCAGCCAGTTAAATAGAAAGGAACATGGCATGTTTTGGTATGTTTTACATTTGAAATTTGAACTAAGAACTGAAATTTTATTTTTTAGTACTGAAATTTTCTTTAAAAAATAGCTTAGCTGAAACCGGTTTGGCTCAGTGGTGGAGCGTCGGTCTGCGGACTGAAAGGTCCCGGGTTCGATTCCGGTCAAGGGCATGTACATTGGTTGCGGGCACATCCCCAGTAGGGGGTGTGCAAGAGGCAGCTGGTCAATGTTTCTCTCTCTCTCTCTCCCCCTTCCTTTCTGTAAAAAAATAATAAAATATATTTTTAAAAAATAGCTTATTATGCGGTCTCATTTACAGAACAGTATTTCACCCATCCAATAGAATATCATATGTCACTAGAGAGATAGAGCAAAGGTCCTTTCTTTTCAAGCGTTACCATTTGAGTGAGGTTTTGTCTCCTTTAATTTTATTATGAATTTTGAATGGAACTGGCTTACATTAGTTTTTATAGGAAGGTAAATATTGCATGTGTCATTATTAATAGGATTCTGGATTATTTTTCAGAATCTGCATACATGCAATAGTTGTCATGAAAAGAAAATAAATTTAATCTTGATCAAGATTTGATGCCGAAACCGGTTTGGCTCAGTGGATAGAACATCAGCCTGCGGACTGGAAGATCCCAGGTTCGATTCTGGTCAGGGGTATGTGCTTTGGTTGCAGGCACATTCCTGATGGGCAGTGTGCAAGAAGCAGCTGATCGATCATTCTTTCTCATTGATGTTTCTAACTCTCTTCCTCTCTGTAAAAAACCAATAAAATATATTTTTAAAAAAATTTTAAAGGAAAGAGAGAAAAAGTAAAATAAGCTAAAGAAGCTATGCAAAAAGAAAAAGACATAAAAGAAGAAAAGGTATGCAAATCATAATGTAAAATTTAGAAAGTTACACAATCAGCTTATTTATATTTTAGGAGAACAAATTGCCTATCAGCCCATGTTAGTTTCAATATCTGAGTTCATTCATGTAAGTATCTCGTAGAAGGGAAAGATAGGCTTGAACCCTTTTTAAAATTTCTTACCTATAGGGTAATATTACAGAGTAACCTTATTTATTTATTTATTTTTGTTTTCTCCAAGTAAAATTGGGGAAAGATAAAATAGGGATATTAAAAGTGAATAAACAATTGTTTTTTGGAATTGTTAATCATTTTACCTTTGTTACTGTTGGGTTTTTATTTTTGCTTTTCTTCAGTTGAGCGAATCCAAATCTGATAGCAAGGAAAGATCCAAGAAATCTTCAGTGTCTGATCCTTTAGTTCATATCACTGCAAGTGGTGAACCAGTTCCCATATCTGAAGAATCTGAAGAGCTGGATCAGAAGACATTCAGCATTGTAAGTAGTATCCCAGCAGTCACCAACTGACAGTCTGCAGACCACTAGTGGTCTTTGAAGTCTGAAAGGCTGGTGACCGCTGTAGTATACTGGTTATTAGTAACAATCCATATAACATTTAAACTGCAGTTTTATTCTTTGTTGCTTTTAATTTAGAAATGTCTTTGAATTTGTTGCTACTGTAATTCAGGTTGTGAAACTATATTTGGAAGATAATTTAAATTTAGAATCAACTTGGAAAATCTTTAATATACGAAGAACTCGACGGAGAAGCATTTAAGGATGACTTAGAATGAACTTCTTTTCTCCATTTAGTTTCTGAACCTGTTAACTATATGACACTTTTTTTTGTCTTTAGTGAAGGAGTAGCTTCTTTTTAGTCTTTTAGGAAGTATAATTTTAAAAAATATACAAAATACAAGCCCTAATGTTTTATTACTTGGTTCAGTAATAAAATTGCCCTGTCAGATTGACATAAAGGTCTCTGAAATTTCTCTGCCTATCCCCTGGAACCAAGTGCCGGTTCATAGACTACACTTGGAGTAACACTGGTCTAAAATGGGTTTTATATGCTACCATGCTTGTCGTCATTCTGTGTATAAGCTGCTTAAAATGGATTGTTCCAGTGTAAAAAGTACCATTTTTACAAAAAGATAAGTAAAATTCAAAGTTATTACTCATACAAAGACTGATAATGAAAATCTTGCTTTCCAAAGAGAAACTAAGGAGGGAAATCCCTGGCATTTAAGAGCTCTGAGGTGATATTTAATGGTTAGTTTAGCATCAAACAGTGCTATATTTACTCATGTAAATATCATTGAAAAAAATGTTTAATTTATGTTTAATATATCTTTATGTTTTTTATTTTCCCTCTTTAAAAGTGTAAAGAAAGAATGAGGCCTGTCAAAGCAGCTTTGAAACAACTTGATAGGCCTGAGAAAGGCCTTTCAGAAAGAGAACAACTAGAGCATACTAGGCAATGTTTAATAAAAATTGGTGACCATATCACAGAATGTCTGAAAGAGTATACAAATCCTGAACAAATCAAGCAGTGGAGAAAGTAAGTAATGTACTTTTAGGAAGTGTTAAATTTGTGGGTATGTAATAATCTATTATATTTCAATTTATTCTTCTACTTTTGAATTTTAGTAATACTAATGTTTAGAGAGGTAACTGGAGGATGGTTATTTTTACTATTTTCCCTTTAAAGCTTTTTTTATTCATGAGTGATCAATTAATTATGTATCATGATATTCATAGCTGGTATTTCTGCCTTTAAATAAAAAACAATGAATGCTGTTTCATTAAAATTTAGATTGCATTTTATTTTATTTATAAATCTTTATTGTTCAGATTATTACAGTTTTTCCTTTTTTTTTCCCCCTTCATATCTCCCCTCTACCAGGTTCCTACCCCATTCTCTGCCCTTACTTCCCTTCCCCCCCCACTGTCCTCATCTATCGGTGTACGACTTTTGTTCAGTCTCTTCCTACACCCTCACTCCCCTTTTCCCTTGAGAATTGTCAGTCCACTCCCTTTCTATGCCCCTAATTCTATTATATTCACCAGTTAATACTGTTTATCAGATTTTTTATTCCCTTGGTTTTTAGATTCAGTTGTTGATAGATATGTATTTGTTCATAATTTTTATCTTTACCTTTTTCTTCTTCCTCTTCTTAAAGAAGAACTTTTAGCATTTTGTATAATACTGGTTTGGCAGTGATGAACTCCTTTAGTTTTTTTTCTCATCTGTGAAGCTCTTTATCTGACCTTCAATTCTGAATGATAGCTTTGCTGGGTAGAGTAATCTTGGTTGTGTAGGTTCTTCTTATTTTATCACTTTGAATATTTCTTGCCACTCCCATCTGGCCTGTGTAGTTTCTGTTGAGAAATCACCTGACAGTCTTATGGGTGCTCCCTTGTAGGTAACTGTTTTCCTCTTGCTGCTTTTAATATTCTCTTTTTGTCTTTTGTTCTTGGCATTTTAATTGTCTTGGTGTGACACATTATAATTAAAATCCAAAAATCCTCTTTGGATTTTTTTTGTTTGGGGTTTTCTGGGCTTCCTGGACTTGTAAGTCTATTTCTTTCACCAAATGGGGGAAGTTTTCTGTCATTATTTCTTCAAATAGGTTTTCAGTATCTTGTTCTCTTTCTCCTTCTGGAATCCCCATAATTCTGATGTTGGTTTGCTTGAAGTCCCAGAGGCTCCTTACACTATCTTCAACTTTTTGGATTTTTTTTTTTTCTTTTTTCTTTTCTGGAGGAGTGTTTTTTGTTTCTTTGTATTTTAAATCTTAGACTTGATTCTTGTGATCATCTGATCTGCTGTTGGATCTCTGTATATTATTTTTTTATTTCAGTCAGAGTATGCTTAATTTCTGGTTGGTCATTTTTCATATTGCTAAATTTATCAGCCTTTTATAGAAAATTCTTAAAAAACGTTATAACCGTGGTCTTGAACTCTGTATCCAGTAGTTTGCTTTCCTCCATTTCTTTCATTTGTGATCTGTTTCTTTGTCTTCACATTTTGGCTGCTTCCCTGTGTTGATAGAGTATCCTTGTGTGCTAGGTGTCCTATAGGGCCCAGTGGCTCTGTCTCCCCAGTTACCTGAGGTGGAAACTTGTGGTGCACTCCTTTGTGGTCTGTGTGTGCAGTTTTGTTGTAGTGAATCCTTGATTGTTGTTGATATCACTGAGAGGAGTTGACTTCCAAGGCAATTGGCTATGAGGATCAGCTGTGTCTGCCCTGGGAGAACTTTCTGTGCTGGAGACAACTTTATCATACAAGACTTGCAATAGCCTCTGTGCTCAGCTTGGATGTGGCGGAACCTCAGGGTGGGGCAGACAGCAATGGTTTCCTGTCAGCCCTACCCTAAGAGGCCCCCGAGTCTCAGTGTCCCATGGTAATTGCTGGAAGCACCTCTGAGAGAAAGCTGCTCTCGAGTTTCGCCCACTGCCAGACAGTCCACTTTCTCCCCGAATGAGTCTGGGTCCCCAGTCTTGCTGGAACTGCAGTTCCGGGCAGTCGGGAGCTTTTGTCTTCCTCCTGATTGAGAAAGCCAGCCGCATATTCAGTTGCTAGCCCTCTTCGCGTGCTCGCCTCTGTACCTCTGCCTTCTGGGGCTCCGCTGAGTCTCAGTGTACTTTTCTCTTTCCTTCTAGTTGTAGAATATCCACTCAGCCAACCTTCCTGTGTTTCTGAATGATGTCTGTTTTGTCTTTTAGTTGTAGTTTTGAAATTATTGTGTGAAGCAGTAATTTAGGTATTTACCAATGCCACAAACTTGTTTTCTCTCTTGCATTTTATTTTTTTAAAATTTTCACAATTCTCTATATTCTCAGTAGTATTTTTAGAAATTGGTGAGCCAAATAATTAAATTTATTATTATGTAATTATATTTAGCAATTTTTCTTTGAGTATGAGTATAATACCTTGTAAAAATTAATATCCCCATACAATGTAAAATGGAGAATCGTCCTTTATTTTAGAAGTAGTAGCAATACAGTTGATCTTAAAATTATAAAACTGAACTGCTATATTATTATACAAATCACGTAATAATTACCAGATCCAGATCAGTATTAAACCAAACTACTATACAACTTGGGGAAAACATAAAGTAAAAACAAACAAGTCCCTGTTAGTAATACAGCTACACATTAAAAACAAAACAAAACAAAACAAAAAAAAAACGGTAACATTTCTGGAGGAGTGGTTATGATTACACTAAAATAAAAAATTTCTACACTTGTTTATTTTATCCTTAAATTCAAGCAGGACCCATTTTAGGGAGAGGAGGTAGGAAATTGATTATGTAAATTTTGCTGTCATGTCTAAAGAAACTAAAGCTATGTATGGACAATAATAATATCCTTAAATCGTGCCTATAATTCCATAGAGTAGTCACTACAGTTGGCATCAGAAGATCTGCTCAGTCCCCATTTTGGCTAATTTGGGGCTTTATGACCTTGAACAATATCTCTGAGCCCCCTGGTATTATCACTGGTAAAATGATAACATCTCTATTTGAAGCTCTTATTTTGATTATTCTTTTTTAATCCTCACCCTAGGATATTTTTCCCATTGATTTCTAGGAAAAGTGGGAGGGAGAGACAAGGGAGAGGGGGAGATACACATACATCGATCAATTGGTTGCCTTCCACAGGCACCCCTATCAGAATTGGGGAACCTGCAACCAAGGTATGTGCCTTGACCAAAATCAAACCTGACCCTACAGACCTTGGTCCAATGCTATTAACCACTAAGCAGAACTGGCCAGCCCTGTGTCTGAAACTTTTTTTTTTTTTTTTTAAATATATTCTTATTGACTTCAGAGAGGGAGAGAGAGAGAGAAACATCAATGACCCCCCCTACTGGGGATGTACCCTGGCTGGGAATTGAAACGTGACCTCATAGCTACACTGGCCAGGCATGAAGCTCTTTATAAATTGTAAGGGATTACATATTTTCCACTTATTGAATAATAATAAGAAACATTGGGAGGAATGGGAGACAATAATTTTGAAGTATTATATTTATATATTCATATATTCTAGCTTAATCTTTTATTTTTGGTTGGAATATATATACTGAATGGAGCATTAACTCTTTCCTCAAGTACCATAAACAATAATTTCATCCTTTTCAACTCATCTTACTATTCCCAAGCTCAGAGTCATAGATCAAGAATACAATCAAGCTCAATTATATGTTAGGCGTTCATGGGAATCTGTCTCTTTACATTGAAGATCCAAAGTTAAATTTTCTCTGTGATTGGCTCCCAAACACATTTTTGATTGTCGCTTAGCTGTGGTAAAATTGGGAAAATAAAGAAATGGAGTGAATTGTTCTTAGAGCTAAATTTCGTTAATTTAAAGGTTTATATTAAACATTTTCCTACTTTTTAGTATAAAGGAGCTTGTTTTCCATCTGAAAATATTTCAGTGTACTATATTTTGAAACCTTATAATTAGAGTTTCTTTGAGGTCATAGAGGGAGAAAATCTATATTACTTGCTAGAAAGATTAGTAATAAGTATCTTGTTGAAATTATATAGTGACTAATACAAATATATGCTATTTTGGATTTCGTTTATAAACAGGAACGGGGGTAGGGAGTTGGCGACCGCTGGTATAGGGAATGCTTCTCAATTTTTGGACCATTTCTGACATACCCCATTGTCTGTTAAAACTCTCCATTGGTAAAATAACTTAGACACTGTGAAAAGGCAAAACAGAACATTTTAAATATGTTTTGGGGTTATAAAGTATATTAATTTGTAAAACTCAGCAAGTGTAAACTTAAAAATTGTGCATCTTATTCTATGTACATTTTACTTTTAAAAGAAGATAACAGATATTGACTAGTTAATGTTACGAATACTGAAGTATTTAGGGTGAGAAATAACAACACCTCCATTTATCTTGGAAATGCAAACAAAAATTACAATGATTGCTGGAGAGATGGATGTATGAAATATGTCATAGAGCAAGCTATTCTTACATATCGATACTCAAAATCAGAAGGCTGAGAATTACTTATTTTAGTGGAAAGCAAATTAGGAGTCTTTTAGCCTTAGCTATATGAGTCATTTAGCCTCATTACCTGATTTACTTGTTTATTTTTAAAATTGGCTGCTATTTTTACTATGCCTATTTAAAGGTTATTTGTGAAATTAAATAATAGGGAAGAGCTTTGAAAATATAAAAACAGTTTAATATACCTGTTACCAATAGTATCCCATGCAAGGCTTTGTAATTTAATGTCTACTTTGTAGTTATAAGCAATAAGTACTTAATATTTGAAAAATGTGTCAGCCATTTAGAAATCCCCAAATTAAGTGCTTTCATATACTTTCTTATAAAATAGAATGAAAAGTTATTTTATAGCTAAGAATTTTTGCTTTCTAAGACCATCTTCCTTCAACCAAAGTCATTAAAAGATGGCTTTCTTTTGGGAAGTCATTATTTATACAGAGGATTTTATATATCTCTCTGTGTGTGTGTGTGTGTGTGTGTGTGTGTGTGTGTGTGTGTGTGTGTGTGTGTGTTGTTTGTTTTTTGTTTTGTTTTTCCTTAAAATTGATTGATTGGCTCATTAAAGATGTTGATATTGGCTAATCTGCTAAACTCTATCATTGGCTAATTAGTAATTTCTCTACCCTGTTTATATAAGCAAATATCAAGTCATATTTTATAATACCTATTGAAAAATATTTAAGAAAAAAATTGTGAATATGTAAAACTATTACTTTTTCAGTGATAGCAGATAGACTTAAGTGTCACTGATTATAAATGACTGTTTAGGAAGCTGTGTTAAGAAGTATTCATAGGCTGCATCTGAATTTATCATGAAATACTATGATCAGTTACTAATTCTTGCCTTGGGATAGGAAGAGAGGCCTAAAGACTCCATGTTGTCCATAAACATGTAGAGGTCCAAAGATTCCATGTTATTCTCATGACCATTGCATTAAATTTATAAAATGACAGTTTTTTTTCTAAAGTATAACTGCCAGGCAGATCTGTTAGGGCCCTTTTTTTACAAGTGATATTATTTGATGGTATAATTGTTCAGACTAGGAACATAGCTTATTCCTTTTATAACTAATCTGAATAACATTATGAGTCCTTTCCTGATTTGTAAATTTGCATCTCTGATTTCAAATTAGGGTTGATTAGTGCTTTTCATTCTAAAAATTATAAAATCAAGGGATTTGTAAGAGAAATCAAACTTAATGTTTAGGTTCATTTAGAGTTTTATCCCTATATGACATTTTAAAAGACACTAGAAATAATCTCCTTAGGCTTTATTACATAGAGGGCAAAGTATTTGTGTTTGTGTGTTTAGGGAATTAGAAAAATCTAAATATTTTTCACCAGACTAATTTGACTTTTTTTCTTCTAGAAACCTGTGGATTTTCGTATCTAAGTTTACTGAATTTGATGCAAGAAAATTACATAAGTTATATAAGCATGCTATTAAAAAACGGCAGGAATCTCAGGTAAAGTAACACATCATTTTTCCCCCTTATTTATGTTACTAAAACTGAGACAGTCTTCCTTAGAGAAGAATTCAGTTAATAAATGTAGGAGGAATGAATGAAATAGAAAATTACCACTAGAGTACCACATTAAGAACATTTGCAAGTAAGAGCTTCTGAAGGAAGCTAAAATTAATGAACAAGAAATGAGATATTAGCATAGTCTAAAAATATCTTCTCTAATATGTTTATTAATTACAAAGAGAAACAATAACATTTAGAAAAGAAACTTGCCTGACACCACTGTAAATAAGTGACTAAATCATCAGTGAAATAAGACGTATTGACATCATGAATCACCTGAGTATGATGCACTGAGAAAGGTACATCACTTCTGTGGTTTGCATAACCTCAATCTAATCATAAGAAAATTCCAGAAAAATTGCAAGAGATATACCACACAGAAACTCTATAGTACTCTTCAAAAGTGTCAAGATCATGGAAGACAAGAAAAAACGATGGAGTTGTCCCACATTGAAGGAAACTAAGTTAGACATAAAACCTAAGTGTTATATGAAGTTCCAGATTGGATCCTGGGGTGGAAAAAAGATCTTAGTGGAAAAATGTAAAATCTGAATGAAGTATGTATCGATAGCTCAGTTAATAGTATTGTACCAATGTTAACTACTTAGTTTTAGTCATTATGCCATACTTATAGAAGATACTAACATTAGGAGCAGCTATAAGAAAGACCTATGGGAACTCTTTGGTATTACTTTTCTGTTAAGTCTCAATTTATTTCAAAGTCAAATTTTGTAATGTCATGTGACAAATAGTTTATGATTTTTTAAGAAGATATCTGCATATGCTACATATATACATTCTAGTATATTATGTACAGGCTTCTTTCAGCCTTGAGGTTTTCTTTTTAGGGCCCCTCACCCTTTTTTGTAATAGTTTATTATACCACTCAAAAGATTCTTACATGTGTGCATTTATTTTAGCAAAATAATGACCAGAACAGCAACGTGAATATTCAAGTGATTAGAAATCCAGGTAAGTCAGTCTTACTAATTATTTTTAAAAGCACATTTTAAAATTGTTTTTCCTCTTTGGGGTTTTAGATAATACATACCTACATCATTATATTGAATCTATTATCTTAATCCGTTTTTGCTTATTGTTAACCTTTCCATAAATCACCCTTTACCAGTTTATAGAAATTGTAGGTATTGTTAAAATGCAATAAATTATTAAAATGATAATAAATTAATTTAGAATGCAGTAATACATTTTTTTTCTGCACAAGAATCACAAAAGTATAGTCTGTCTTAGAAGGAAATGGGCCTTAAATATTTCAGTTGTGATTTTTCACATTTTGGAATAGAGTGACCCCTTTTGTAACTCTTAGTACTGTTTTAATAAACCATTTCTAAATGCTTTTAACTACCTGTATTTGGGAACTGATTTTGTTTAGCTGGAGTTAAGACAGAAATTCTTATAATGTAGCAGCAAAGTTAAATTCATTAACAAAAGTTGAGTTTTTTCATTTAACAGATGTGGAAAGATTAAAAGAAAATACTAATCATGATGATAGCAGCAGAGACAGTTATTCTTCTGATAGACACTTATCTCAGTATCATGATCATCATAAAGACCGACATCAGGGAGATTCTTACAAAAAGAGTGACTCTAGGAAAAGGCCCTATTCTTCTTTTAGTAATGGAAAAGATCATCGTGATTGGGATCACTACAAGCAAGACAGCAGGTAAACCTGATAGTCAGTTCTTAAAGTTTGCTTATTTGTTTCTGTTTTTCATTTTATTTACTATGTTTGAACTTATTATCACTTCAAACAAACGTTATGTGAAATAAATGTGCTTATTTATAAATAAGAAAAATATGAACTCTAATTCTTTTTGTTAATATTAAGAACTGGGTTTTTCTATAAAATGTTTTCTTTAATTATAAATTTAAGATTAAAGTTTAATAAGAGATGAAAGTATAGGGAGGAACTGATGAACAAAAACAGATCCAGAGATAGAGAAGCATCAGACTGTCAGACCTCAGAGGGAAGATAAGGGACGGTGAGGGTAAGAAAGCATAGGGAGTTCTATAATTATGTCACAGGATTCCTTATTGGTTTTGGAGAATATTGGCTTAAAAACTCTTCAAAATATAATTCTATATAATAAAAGGCTAATATGAAAATTGTTTCTTTGATCGGGAGTTCAACCATGGTGTGGGGCTGGTCAGCCAAATGTCTACAGCCCCTTCCCCCAGCCAGCCTGGCCCAATCGGCCTTAATCAGGGAGGACCAGCCAGACCCCACCCATGCACGAATTTGTGCACTGGGCCTGTAGTCTAGGTATATAAAAGCCTAATCGACCGTTACAACAGAATGACCAGTCAACCAGTCACTTCGATGCACACTGATGACCAGGGAGCAGACGCACAACACAGGAGCTTCCCATGGTGGTCAGTGTACTCCCACAGCCAACCTCTCCTGGTCCCTCCCTCCCTGCTGCTGGCTGGCCAACCTCCCGTAGTCCCTTCTCCCATTCTTACCCTCCCCCAAGCCTCCCTCTGGCCTGGCCTTGATCAGGACTGGGTGAGACAGCCCTGCTCAGCCCTGATTACCAGCCAGGTTTAGTGACCCCCACCCTTGCACAAATGTGTGCACTGGGCCTCTAGTAAGGTAAAATAAAAGCTTGATGGAATATGGTGAAATTTGATGGAGGGAGTTCTTTATTATACTTTATTTAAAACAAATGGGGAAAATTTTATTTGAAAACACCTGAAATGGTCCTGAAATCAGGATGTTTTATTTGTTCACTAGAGGTTGATGCACCAAAATTAGTGCAAGAGTAGGCCTTCCTTTCCCCAGCTGCCAGCACTTACTTCCCTCCAGCCCCCAGGTTCTGGGCTTCACTCCAGCCGCCACCTGCAGGCACCTGGGACCTGGGCTGCTTCACTCCGGCCACTGCTGGCAGTCACCCAGGATCCAAGGCTTCACTCCAGCTCTGGTCTTGTTCAGATGGATGTTTGGTCTAATTAGCATACTACCCATTATTATAGACTAGAGGCCCGGTGCATGAAATTTATGCACTCGGGGAGAGGAGGTCCCTCAGCCTGGCCTGCCCCTCTCAGTCTGGGATCCCTTGAGGGATGTCCAACTGACGGCTTAGCCCTGCTCTTGGTGGGGAGCAGGCCTAAGCTGTCAGTCAGACATCCTTAGCGCTAACATGGAGGCAGGAGAGGCTCCCGCCATTACCGCTGTTCTCACCAGACATGAGCTCAGCTTCTGATTGAGAAGCACTGGCTTAGAGGCTCATATAAAAAGGTTCTGATTTCAAGTGTATAGTTGTAGTTATCTTAATCTAGCTTCCAGATAATTAAGATGTGTTAATACAAATGATGCATAAAATAAGAAGTACCAAACATCATAAAATGGGGATGTGAAATTAGATTTCTCTGAGGTGGTCTGTATGGTTCACTTTAGTTTTATGAATCAAATGGTTTTTCAAAAGCACACGGTTATTTCCAGTAATTTTTAAGTAATGAAACACTGAACTTTTATTTAATTAAAAGTATTCTTTAAAGTATTTTGTTTTATTTTTAATAAGATGTTATTCATTTGGAAACATTTAATTTGTATTATTAATTTAAATAATATTTCTAATTTCTCTTTTGTTAGATATTACAGTGATAGAGAGAAACACAGAAAACTGGATGATCACAGAAGTAGAGATCACAGGTCAAATTTGGAAGGAAGTTTAAAAGATAGATCTCATTCAGATCATCGGTTACATTCAGATCATCGGTTACATTCAGATCATCGGTCAAGTTCTGAATATACACATCATAAATCTTCCAGGGATTATAGGTATCACTCAGATTGGCAAATGGACCACAGAGCTTCCAGTAGTGGGCCTAGATCACCACTAGATCAGAGGTCTCCTTATGGCTCCAGATCTCCATTTGAACATTCAATTGAACACAAAAGTACACCTGAGCATACCTGGAGTAATCGGAAAACATAACAAAAACTGATATTTTGTTGTTCTGGACTTTTCTTTTAGCCATATATCATAAACCAACACAGTAATTGCCTTACATGACTTGAAAGATATAAACAGATCTTCTATCAGTAGCAGTATTGTTACTTCTTTCCAGGATGCAAGGTCTATTATCCCAACAGAAGAGAAAATATTTTTATATTTAAGGATTATGCTGCACTGTGCTACAAATATTGTAGTACTTTTTTTTCTTTTTTTCTTTTTTAAAGAGATGGAAAATGTTTACTCTTACAGGGACCTCAACACTGCCCTTCCATATAGGCTGGATAAACTGTTTTTAAGTCAATGATTTTAGACTGAACTCCATTTAAATTATGTTTGTATATGAACTTTACTCTGACCTGTGATCATGTTTCAGGAAGGAATGAAAGAGAGTTCTTTTCTTAATAAAGAAAAAACACTCAAGGATTTTGTTCACTTTCCAAAGCTACTTGTTTACATTGTACACTGCGACCACCTTGCCGCTTTTCATCACAAGCTTGAATATTTAAATTCTGTACTTATATCTGTAAAATAGCCAGGAACTTCCTGTTTGTGATCTATTATTATGCCTTTTTACATACACACAAAAAATTGACTGTAAATTATTGTAAATAGATTAAATGAGCTTTCCTTACTTCTTTTTCTCAGGCTTTTTTTGACTGTTCCTTTCCCTACCAACTCAGGCCTTCTTATTGTTTAAAAAAAAAAAAAATCAGTGTAACAACACTTTTTAATTATTTGTCTTGATGGAATCATTGTTTAGAATGTAAAAAAATGGGGAAAGGGGCTACTTAATTCCATTAGTCCTCTTTTTATATTGACTATTTTATTAAATACATGTTATTTCGTTCCTTTTACTTTATTTTACTTTTTTGGTCAGTAGTGTGTATGTAGTAGCAAAATGGTGAGATAATACGTAAAATCTAAACTGCATGCTCTGGAAACATTTTCAGATGCATTTGGTTTAAAAAGGGTAAGTGTATGAACACTCTCAGAATTCAAAATAGCCAAAAGTTATTGTAAATCCATTTGTTTTCCCTTTTCATGTGGGCAATAATGTCAAATGTGCTATGCAGCCAGGTAACATTTTAGATAAACTTGATTGACTTTTATAATATAACTGTTACAATGCACACTGATTGTATATAAAAACCTTATATATGACAAATTAAATTTAAGAAAAAGGATATGTGGGCTCCTGTAATTTTCTGCTGCAATTTTTCCCCTCTCTTAAGAAAAAAGGCACTTAACTTTTTTCTTTTTTAAGTAGTAACATTTGGCTGCCAGAAAATGGATATTTTGGTAAGCAGTTGAATATAGTTAATGTGTAGCACTACAACTAAATCTATTTTGAAGACCATATGAACCTATGATGTAAAATTTAGGTCATAGGATTTTTTGTTGGCCTCTTTTTTGTTTTCTGCAGATATTATTTCAAAATGCCTTATATTTATTCACAGATTTTTATTTTGTTATATTCAATGGGAATTTTTGACGTATGTAGCATACATTTTTGAATGTGTGCTGTGATGTAACAAATTTGAATTTTAACTTTGACAAATATATTGATATATTACAATAATATTTTTAAATGTGTCCCTATTGATTTAGCTGTGGGAGCAATCTTCAGAAATTTGTTCATAGATGTATTTTTTAAAATATTTTCTGTTTATTCGATTAGGTCTAAAATTTACACTAAGGGTACAAAATAAAGCTTGCTTTCCATTTTTTGTTTTTTTAAGCAGTGATTCTTCTTTTAGTTATTCTTAAGAATATTGATCTATTTTTCCACTGACATATCACATAACATGGGAAATAATTTTATTTTTAAATATCTCATTTATAATCAATATAAAAGTGATAAAGTAGTTGGGTTCGGGAACACATTTTTTAAGTCTTTTCACTGTAAAATTGATTATTCCACAAGATAGCAGTGAATAAAAAAATGTAATGCTTAATGAGGTCATAATAATAACAAAACAAATCAGGGTTGACATTTTAAAATCATCACTTTGTAGTTGGAACATTTGGATTAGATCCTATTGTGCAAATTTTATAAAAACTATTACATTTTTTGAGACAATGGAATGGATTCATAATTCTACATTTAGTTGAATATTTCAGTCAACTAATTAGTGGAGTTGAATGAAAAAATCTAAAACTATGTAACATTTATTAACTGATGGAAAATATGTTCATTTGTAAGAAATTACATAGAAGAGGAATAAGCCATAAATTTATTAAAAAAATGGAGAAGAATATTAGTAGATATAATAGGGAACATTCTCTACAAAATATGCTTATTTTTGTCTTTTACATGCTCATTTTGCTTTGCATTTTTATCTGTTTAATTTTTCAAGGATAAGATTATGCGTAGTACTGTACCAATTAACCTTCCACTTTAATAACTTACAATAAATGATTCTTACGAAAAGCAATGGCCTGTTTGCTTATCAAGAACATATTTTTGTTTAGGATATGTTAAGAAAATAATTTGCAGACTGGAAAGCTGTGGAAAATGAGTGTGAATGATTTGTTCATTATTTTCAGAGTGTTTAAAATTAGAACCTCTACAGTTGTAGTAGGTTACCTATGATAACTTACTGTTTGTAATCATTTTGTAGTTAAATAAGGAAAGGGTTGTGTAGATTTTTATACTGATTTACACAGTTTACTTTCTTGAAATTTATCACTAGGGCCCGGCTAGCATGGTGCAGTGGTTGTTTGTCGACTTTATAAACGAGGAGATAAGGTTCAATTCCAATCAATGATTCTCATTATTGATGTCTTTCTCTCCCTTTCCCTTACTTTCTGAAATTAATAAAAATATATGTATTTTTAAAAAGTATACACTAGAAATAAATGTCATAATTCTTATATGTGCACTATATGGCTGTTTTTGACTAGAAAATGGTCTTTGGACCATAAATGTCATAGATTTATAATTCAAACTATCAAGACTCAAATGTAGAGTGGGTGACATGGCATTGGAGCCACCTGAATCTAATGGCCTCCTTGTTTAACAATGAATTCTTGGTTAATTTTACCATGGCAACTGTAATTAAAAATCTTCTGTTTGATTGAGTTAACCTGTTGGTTCAGCCTTAAAACAAATGTTATTCACCTGAGGCCTCCCATAATCCCCAGATAAGCTTACGTCGGACGTGGCCCCACCACGGACCCAGTCTGGCTTCTGCTGGGTTCCAGCTATGGTAGGGAAAAAGAAATGCTCAGATAAAGTATGAAAGCTCATCATGCAAAAGCGCAGAGCTAGGGTCCAGGATTGGAGAGGGACTTACCCACCAACCACCTCTAGAAACGGCAAGCTCATGGGACTGAACAGGTACGCTTGCTTGGTTGCTCGTTGCTCATTGCTCCTGAGATCGTGATGGGATGTCTCCTTTGGTTTCCACTTCTGACACCAGGACTGTTCAAAGGTAAGTGGAGGCTTGTTAATTTTAAGTTTATTTCAGTAAAATATTTAAATATATTTGGACCTCAGCGCTAAACTGAAAGTGGTTAGGAGTGCTCACGTTCGTCATTTTATATTCTTTATTTTGCTTTTTCTCTTAGCACTTAACAGTACTTGTCTTTATATATATTTTATCACTTGTCATTGAGTGGTCTCCTAACTAGAATGTAAGTTCTATTAGGACAGAGACTCTATTTTCTTCACTGCTATCTCCCCAGCATGTGAAACAGTACCCCAGACCAATTGTATTTTTTCATTATTTTCTGGTATTTTTCCCAGAAATGCGATGCCTCATTACTGACTTTTTTTTTTCTTGCTGTTACCTGGTTTGTTAGTTTTATTGGAAACTTTTATATGTTTTATCATATAAACATATAAACTGTTACCTGGTTTGTTAGTTTTATTGGAAACTTTTATATGTTTTATCATATAAAAGAGTATCTCTGTTATTCTAATCTTTGTACTATCTTCCAGTTTTAAACTTGATTAATAAGAACCACCTGAAATGTTGAGAAATATAACACCTAGGTCTCATTTCTAGGAATTAAAATAGAAGAGAGCCCAACTGGTATCAATGGTTGAGCCTCATCCTATCTGAAAAACAAGTATTTAAAAAAGTAACAATAGGCAGAGAAAGGCCCCAACTAATAAAGTTTTAGGGATTTTACTATTTATTTCTTTGACTTGAATAATAGATTAATTATAATACACTTGTATTTAAATATAAATGAAAAAATTGATTTCCGTTATTTATGGCTACTTAGGAAGTATTCTTTGAATAGGTATTCAGAGATGTATGCATGAAATAAAAACATTTTGATTTGTCTATATTATTCCTTTATCCTTTGAAAGTAAATACGTTTTTATTTATTTTTAAACTGGTATTCTTTTAGATCAAATTTAGGTTCACACCACTATGTATTCCTCATTTTCCTTTCCCACTTTCAACACCCCCCTCCCGCCACAGTGGTGCATTTATTACAATTGAAGCAGTATAGACACATCATGATCACCCAAAGTCCATAGTTCACCTTAGAATTTCCTCTTGGTGGTGTACATTCTATGGGGTTGGACAAATGTATAATGAACATATATCCACCATTGTAGCATCCTGTACAATAGTTTCACTGCCCTAAAACCCTCTGTGTTCTATCTTTCCCTCCCTCCAACCCTTGATAACTCCTAATCTTTTTACTGTCTCCTTAGTTTTGCCTTTTCCAGAAAGGCACATAGCTAGAATCATACAGTTTGTAGCCTTCGTTCACTTAGTAATATGCATATAAGTTTCCGCAATGTCAGCCAGGAAAGAAAATAGCATGATAGCCAAAACCGGTTTGGCTCAGTGGATAGAGCATCGGTCTGCGAACTGAAAGGTCCCAGGTTCGATTCCGGTCAAGGGCATGTACATTGGTTGTGGGCACATCCCCAGTAGCGGGTGTACAAGAGGCAGCTGGTCGATGTTTCTAGTTCTCTCCCTCTCCCTTCCTCTCTGTAAAAAAATCAATAAAAA